TACATAGATTAGAAAGGTCTCGAGATGGACCTAGATACTGGGGTGTGAAGTTTTACAAGTTTTACAACTTCCGGATGGGTATAAACTATTGTCCGATAAGGTGTTTAAGGGCAGGGTTCGTGGCTGGTTACTTGAAAATCCACTGTATGACTCGAGGGAGTTTCTTTCAAGTGATATACATATTAATCTCACTTGATGGAAATTCCTTCTACAACAGAATGTGGGAACTGGAAACTCCCACCCTATGTTTATATTACAATGTATTAACTAGAGTATATAATTGTCATTGTGTACCCATCTAATATGATGGTCTTAACTTTATGTCTTTTGTGTTAATTTTTAAGTTAATTGTGTTTTATATATGTATTTTATTTTATATTTTGACTTATGTTCGCCACTATTTGTATGGTATTGACATCAATAAATTATTCTATTCTATTCTATTTATTCTATTCTATTCTATATATATATATATATATATATATATATATATATATATATATATATATATATATATATATATATATATATATATATATATATATATATATATTTATATATATATATATATATATATATATATATATATATGTATATATATATATTGTATTTATTAACTGTATATTATGTATATTTCATGTAAACTATATCATTTTTAAAATACAAACCAAAAATACGAGGAATAATTATGTTTTCCATGTATTCTACCATATTTATTAATCCGTAGTATCGAACTAGCGTGACATCATAAATCTCGCTCCGAGGCTGTTCTATTAGAGACGGCATTGCGTCAGCATGGCCGCAAGTTGCTAACCAAATAAAATTAACACTAGAAAAGCCCGCAGGAACTGTCAAATTCAAAGTTATTCGTTTTACAGACTATAGCTTCTGCTTCCACGTGAACTGTTTTTAATTTCTTATTTGGCGTATTTTTCTGTCCCATGATTCTTTTTGCTATTTCTGTTTTCTGTTCAACTGAATTTTCAATGTAATCTTCAGCAACCGAGCTTGATCGCCAACCTCCATGTCGCTTTAAAACTGTTATGTCCGCTCCTGAATCTGCCAGCATTGTTGCAAAGCTGCACCGGAAACAATGACCAGTGTATTCAATTGCGTTGGAGAGTCCAAGAAATTCCGCTATCTTTTTTGGCATACCCCCAGTTGTATTGATTCCAACTGGCAGGGTATAGTGTGACCAACGGATCTGTAGCTACGGGGTATCGGCAGGGGAACGCAGTTGTAAACAAAACACGCCCAATTTCATTCATAAAATAGGCATGGGCGTACGGTGTTATATGAAAATAATGTGTATCATAAATATAATACCCAGATTAATAATTTTTTTCAAAAAACTTTATGCTGTTTGAATCGTTACTGTAGAGTTAGCAGATAAACACTAAAAGCTTTTATTAAAGCTCCCTTAAATATTTTGAATTATTTTATTATTGTGTTGTTAATATAATAGAAGAAATAATTACAGCTGGGGGTTGGAACCTTTGGTGTTACACAGCAAAATAAAACACTAAATCAGTACAATACACCAAAACACTTTTAATTTTACACTGGACGCACGTTTCGCTAACCATGTCTGCCATCAGCAGATGATCAAGACTGAGTCTTGAGGTATATTTATTTATATATCTGTACTAACTATATTTTTTTCTATAATACATAATTTTAGATATAACTATTTCCAGCAAAAAAAAATCTTGAAAATAGTTAACTTTGGAAGCGCAAACAAAACATAATTTTACTCATCAGTAGATCTGATATTGCCTATTACACCAGATATGGTATCGCTCCGCCAGCAGTTTTTAAAGGTTAGGTCATTGTCTACCCATATGTTACATCCAAATAGATAATACTTGGCTATATTTTCGAATTTCGCGTATATATATTTATATCTCTCTCTGCAATATAATGGGCCGCTCCATTAATATTTATCTGTTATTTTAACATTTACGCCAAAAAAATTCATTTGATTTTAATAACCCCCTAAGCGTTTCCCTGCAAAAGGAAAATTCGATTCTTCCTGCAATTTTTGCAAAAGCTTTCTAATTGTGGGGACGAGTTTGAATTCGAGATAAAATCTATTTATCAAATTCCTGACCACTTCGAAAAAGTCGTTGAGCTTTTCGACAGCAGTCTCACGTGGTCGTTTCTTTCCAGAGAGGATATCATTTTATCGGGGTTAGTTTTCAGCCTTTTTTTTATCTTCTGTGTGAATTTTTTTATAGCCGATACGCTAACTCCGGTATAAAGAAATATCCGCTCAAGTTTACGTTTAAGCGGCAACTCAAGCGAACTCTCTGTAGCTTCTTCATCGCAAACCCTATTATGAACACAAGGAAATACACCAAATGAGATTTCATCCACGTTATTATTAACTTACCTATATAAATTAGCTATTATTTCTCTTGTCTGACTATGTAGCGTCTTACCCTTAACAAATTTATTCGTTTTAAAACACAAATATACGATCAAACTTGATATTAATAATTAAAAACTACGAACGAAAAACATTATAACAAGATAACAAAACAATAAAACACAACTTAACTATCAAATATACTAAAAATATAGGAATAAAGTTTAGGATAACCGGTATAAAATAATGAAATAAAGTAATAATGATCAAAAAAATGACACCGCCACTGGATATTTCAATAGTATTCAATATTCCTACTCTTTTCAGAAGAGACCGTGAAGTTGGGGATAAAGCAAGCGAATAGGAAAGGCGTAAAAGCCATGGCAACCGCGTGGTAACAAATCCTGTGACGTACTTCGCCAATCATGTTCGATGAATAGGCGGCCATGCGCGGCGATGCCGGTTTGCCAATGATATCGTTGAAAAATCTTCAACTTTCATAATAAGCAGATTATACAGAATGAAAGAAATAAGTTATTAAATAAAACATATCGAACAATATGAACTACGTTAAAATTCCTTAGTAATATACGTCAGAATATATGCTAAACACATTATATATAATAAAAATATATGAAATTTATAGTTCATGTCTGGCAATTTTGCAATTTTATAGATAAACGTGGCAATATCGATTTTTTTTCTCGCATTCCTTCCGTAGCTTCAGATCCGCTGGTCAAACAGTACAGCATTGATTTTTTCAATACATTGAGTGTTCGAAGTTTTGCGTACTTACGAAATACATGTAAGAAATTGATACCATCTATTGGTCCCTCAGTAATCGTAAACACTCTTGGAAAATGAGTTTTTGTATTCGGAATCTTCACACTAATAAATGACTGACAATCTTTAATGGCATCTACGGTAAAAAACGTGATTTCTTCCCTCCTACATGCTCCAAATACTCCAACGATTAAGACAACTTTAGCTAACAGAAATTCTTTGTCATCGGCTTCTTTCATAAAGCGTTCTATTTCCAGTTTTGTAAATACTTTTGATCTCTTTGCCTGATATCTGGAAGCTTTTCTTTTTAAAAATGCAATAAGGTTTGTGAATTTGATAATATCTACGTTTCTGTTCAGGTAAATCATGGTGCGGAGCATCGAATATTTACTCCACAGAGTTGACGGCTTTAAGGTAGTGGATAATTTCAGGAAATAGGCTAGTAATACATTTTCTGTGAAATTCTCAACATGTTTTTCTTTGACCCAGGTTTCAAAATTGTTGTAGGAGGTCTCATATAAGTTTTTCGACTTCTCGGGCACTAACGTGGATAGCGCAGTTTCACCAGCTTGTTGAATATCCAAAGACTCGTCATTATCACTCATTTTTTCACAAAACTTTGTAGGAAATACGGCGACGTTTGAACCTGACAGAACTTTGTCATTAAACAATGCATAAACAATGCCTGAGAAAGCGATTACCAGAACATATTAAAAAATGTTTAAAAATAAATAATAATAATAGCATGAAAATCTCAAATTATCCGCTGTCACAAAAAATCTTGTATGAAATTCGTTGCGAAAAGAGTGTTTTAAGCACTCGACGCGTCCCGTGCTTAAAACACAACCTAACCAACTGTAATTTTTATGATGTCTTTTGTCGAAATTTTCCTTCGCTCATTAGAAAAACTTTAGTTCCTAGTGAAAATATTTGACATAAGTTTAATTTGTTTACATCTTTGAATAAGAAGACTAAGGAAGGAGCATAATGCTATCCATGTATTCATGCATGGTGGGCGGAAAAACCACCATAAAAGCTCTCTAGGGTGGAGATCCTTGACAGTTCTGTTTGACGATTCATTTGACACATTTGAATTTGATTTGAAATTTTGTGGATTTGTCAGTCTTTACGGAGCTTATTTTATGTTATTTATTATTTATTCTACTACTGATAGTTGTATAAAGGTAGTAAATCTAGATGGAAATTGTGGCAGAACTTAAATTAACAGTGACACTATCGCGATTTATCGAAAAAGACTCTAAAATAGTTGGTTGTGTAGCGTGCGGTAGATCTCGGCAAAATTTGAGTGAAATAATGGAACAACTTTTCGCTAGTAAGTGACTATATAATATACATACGTGTAGTAAACCGATCATTTATGAAATTCACTTAAATTAACTAAATTATATATTTTTTCTTGCATTTTAGCTTTTATTTATTACTTGTCAAAGATTAGATGTCAAAGAATTTAGATACGTTAATTTGACTTACCTGCTTCAGTAGCGTATCGGATGTTTGTGTTAATAAATACTTATTATAACTTATCAATTTTATTAGAATTATATATTTTTTATAACAATTTTAATAACTGCCAACATTTATTCACAACGTAAAATAAAACAACAAATTATTGAGTCTACCCCACGTCTACCCTACATCATAGTTTTACATTTTTTAAATAAAATTAGAACGACACTGATAAACCGGAATTTAAGTCGGCCATATTTGAGGCCCATCGCGGTGTACCTAAGATTTTTGATATGCTCCTTCCTTAGTCTTCTTATTCAAAGGTTTACATAAGTTGATATTTTACATAAAATTATTAAATTGCATTGTCTTAATGTTATAGATTTATCTTGAACATGGTAAATTAAAAGTGGAGTTGGTTGCCGGTAATAGTTATAAAGTCGTATTGGACAATTATGAAGAAACATTCAACGATGGTAGATGGCACGTTGTTGTACTGACTATTAAAACCAATGACGTCACTTTCAGCGTCGATTATAGACCAATGAAAACGACTAGGCTGTTGAAAATTGTGACCGGGGCATTATACTACTTTGCCGGTGGTGTCGACGTCGCATTGGGATATTCAAATAATGTCATACCTGGTAAGTGTACATACAATGTCTGTCAAAAAGGAAACCTCGTCAAAATAGCCCGAGACAAGATAGCACTTTCGAGCATGAGTGTGTCTTGTCACGACTTAGAAATCAGCTTGAGATGATTTTAAACGCCCTTTACAAGACGGTAGTACGCATTTCCAAGATGTAGTTTCATAACAATTTTCTCTATCAATGACCATCTTTTAGAAGCAAGTCCTGTCTCTTATGCGACGGTATTATCTCCATTCTTTCTTCGTTTAAGAATTTTTGGATTTATCAAAATGGAACAGCCTTACTAATTGACAGTATGATTTGATATGAACCTAAAATGGCAAGGTTATTAAATTAAACAGGTTGTCTTGTAATTTGACATTAGTACTCAGCAGTTTTCAGCTGGTTTACTAACAATTTTATATTGTTTTCCGTGTATTAAGTGCATTATAATTCAGTTTTAGTGGACATACTGTTTTTTTAGATGAAGTGAATATAACCTAACCTACCTATTATAACAGCCCATGTTCAGTACTGTTTTTTCTGAGTGATGTATATTATGTCTAATAAACGATTTCGACTAGGTTTCCATATTTTAAAGCGGTAAAAAGCTAAAACTGTTTTTTTATTACAAGTACCGTAAAATGGGGTGAATAGAAACAGTTTCGTAGGCTATTAGCGATATACCGGTTGATAAAAATGTGGTATAATTCTCCTGAATATTTTAAAACATGGGTCTTTGTTTGTTCTTTGCGTATACATATAATTTGACTTTTGAAATATATGCGTATAAATATTAAATAAAAATAACATTTGTGTTTCTATTCACCTGCTATTCGGGAGAATAGAAACACACATTGATGTTAAGGTTTTTATCTATTCTACTTCCAACAAGGTGATTAGAAACAGTAAATTATTACATATTTAAGTAGGTTTAACAATAATTAACATTGAATAATAACTATTTTTAATCAAAAACATTTATTTTTTTTATGAAATACAAAAATATAGTAAACCTATTCTAAGCATCTTATATCAAAGTCAAATTCTTTAAGGCCTCTTCTAAACTCTTCAGGAGGATTAAGCTTCCCAATAATTTGGGTATATTCAAATTCAGAGATATCTGGAATATTGGGCAATCCATAAATGTATCCTTTAAAGTCCCTTGAATCTCTTTCGCGATAAAATTCTCCCTCAAAGTTGCCGTTTCCAATAAGGGCTCTTACTCTTCCTATATAAGGTTTCTTATTTGAAGTAGAACTACAAGCCTTTGTTGTGCTTACAAAAAAATTAACAACTAGCCAATCACCTTCTCGAATGTCCTCTTTGTTTATTTTAAATGGGTAAATAGTGGTGGACTTTGTTGAAATTGAGCTTGTTCATTCCTTTCATAGACACAGATCCAGCAGATGTACTATAAATAGACTTGTTCATTTAAGCACAATAAATCCAAATGTTCTGAAAAAAGAAAACAAAAGTATGAGGTGAATAGAAACAGTGTTTCTATTCACCACACAACCTAAAAAAAGTGTTTTATTTACAAAAACTATTATTTTTGAAAAGTTTATACAGTTGATTAGAATTATCAATTGAGTACCATGAAAAATACATATAATATAACAACTTACATGTACCAGCTTATGTATTACTTTAAAATAAATATTTTATTTATAAAGTTTTTTCGCGCCATACAAAATAGGTGATAAATCGATCTCACATTTATTGATCAGCTGATTGACAGAAACAGTGCTGCCACAGATAAAAATATAGTTTTTACATTTTATTATGTATTACCAATGATAGAAAAATTAGATATGTCGACTCTTTTTACTTTGAATATTTTTAATCGTGATTTGATTTTTTTCAGAAATGTTGTTTCTATTCACCACTATGTTTCTATTCACCCCATTTTACGGTATTGCATAAAAATGTTATATGTCAGCAAAATTAGAGAAAAATAAATAATTATTTTATAGAAAAACAATTTAACTTGCGTAATTATTAATAGTATATTATTGAACGAGCAATTTATGCTCAATAATGGCTATAAATTGCGAGTTGAATACTATACTTTGTTCACGGCCATTATAATAATTATGAGGAGTGTTTGAATTTGTATTTTTAATGTTAATCTTACTATTAAATATTGTATTCATGTTTTAAGGGAAAATGTCACTACCTACTTAAAATTTGGCAATTTCAAAGGTCAAAATTAACTAAAAGATAATAAAAACGTCAATATCATTAGTTGCTATGCATCGAGAGTCGCAGTCATCTCGAACTATTCTATTTTCAAATATTTGGGAAGTTTATTATTAGATGTGTTTTACGACATACCTGTATATTAGTACTTTTTTCTACCACCTTTAGTAAAATAAATTTGTTGAAAAATGATAAATCGTACTACCACCAGCTGACTTTTTGTTGTTTTGTGTAACTAAAGTTGGTAGTTTGTGTTTTATTTACCACTAGCGTGTCCCAGCGACTTCGTTCGCGTCGAATTAATCATTTGTAATGGCGATGAAGCAAAGCAAGTCAAGAATTTCCATTAACATACAAACTGGATAAAATTTTCTCACATTTATGTCAGCATGAGAAAATACAATATGGCGATATTATTATATAACTTGGTAATATTTGAGGGGTAGTTTCATCTCGTTGGAATTTGACTTTAGAAAAATCCGTTTGCCAAAAAAAGCTTTTTACGTCAAGCAGTTTAAGCAGAATCGTGGTTAAGAAATTACCCAACTTTTTGGAACACCCTGTATGATTTTTTAAAAAATTTCAAAATATGTACAAAACCAAATAAATTATGCTTGTCCAAGCGTTTTCCCGAAAGACTAACCGTTTTTTAAATAACAAATATTGTAATATTTGAGGGGCGTTTTCACCCTCTTGGAATTTGAGATTCGAGAAACCCCTCCTTATCGAACCTCTACACCCCACAGTCAATCCGTTTGCCAAAAATCAGCTTTAAACGTTAAGCAGTTTAAGCAGAATCGTGATTACTCAATGGTCATATTTTATGAAACACCCTGTATAAATTTATAAAAAATCTTAAAATATGTAAAACAACAAAATAAAATATACGTGTAAGAGTTCTTCCGAAAAACTCACCGGTTTTTAATTAAAAAATATTATAATATTTGAGGGATAGTTTCACCCCCTTAGAATTCGAGTTTCGAAAAATGCCTTCTTATCGAACCTCTACACCCTAAAGTCAATCTGTTTTCCAAAAATCAGCTTTTTACGTCAAGCGCTCAAGCAGGATCGTGATTAATCAATGACCAGGTTTTTCGAAACACCCTGTATACATTTTTAAAAAATCTTAAAATATGTAAAAAAACAAAATAAAATATACGTGTTTAAGCGTTTTTTTCGGAAACTTGACCGTTTCTTAAATAAAAAATATTGTAATATTTGAGGGGTGGTTTCACCCTCTTGGAACTGGTATTTCGAAAAATCCCTTCTTATCGAACCTCTACACCCTAGAATCAACCTGTATGCCAAAATTGAGCTTCGTACGTTGAGTGGTTTGAGCAGGATCATGATTAATCAGTATGTCAGTAACTTAAAGATTTTATATATTAGTATAGATTATATATTTATTTGAATTTTATTGATGCTGCTTCAAGTTTTTTGCAATAAAACATACTTCTACCAACTTTAGTTGAGTACAGTTGTTGGAGAACGATAAATTGAAGTACCAGCATCTGACTTTTTGTTGTTTTGTGTAACTAAAGTTGGTAATTTGTGTTTTATTTAGAGTTATATATGTATTTGAATTTCATTGATATTATTTGAAGTTCTTTGCATGAAAATAGCTTACCAACATTCTTTAGCAAATCAGGAGATTGATTTTTGTTCCGTTACAATGGCAACTAAATGTACTAATAACACGGATTCGGAAAAAAAAATTATGCCTTTAGCAATCCTCCAGTCTAGAAAGTTTTTATAGGCAGACATGTAATGTTCCTTAGACTTTTGTGGTAGCAATCCAAGACTTGTTAATTTGGCCGCCTCTGCTATCTCTGGTGGTGTACAGGGCTCATTATCACTCTCATAATTCATTTTTGATTTTAAATGAGTTTTTGATATGCCACTTAATAATCACTACCTACTTAACATTTGACAATTTTAAACGTCAAAATTAATAAAAAGAAAAGATAAGAAAAACGTCAAATCATCCACGCCGCGCATCGGGATGTTGGGAGTGTCACGTTAGCATAGTAACAAATGTAAAGTAATTGCAAAGTGTAATTTATCATAATTCACTGTTATCAGCTGTTATATTTTATTCTATTACAAATATGGGCACCATATTCCTTCAGCTAGGAAGTAGAATATTGATGTATTATTAAGTGGTCGTGGACAAATATTATCATTAAATCTTATGTTAATAGTTATTTTAAATGTCCCTCTCGCTGACGTAATCGTGCCATCTACTGTGATTGATCCAAAGTTACGAGGCAACCTGTTTAATATAATATCCTTTCTGAAATGGTAGGGCAATGTAAAAAAAAACGGTCAAATGTTTAGCTAATCAAAACTTATGTGGGGCTGTTCTGGTCAGAGAAAACAGTTTGCAACAATGGGGAACTTTATTATTGGGTTACCAAAAGTATTTAAGCAACTATGAAGGGTTTTAAAAAAGAATTTAAGCGATTGCAGCGCCATTACCGCCAAACAATAAAAGCATAAAAAAAAGTAGGGGTAGTACCATAAAGTATACCTAAATTGTCGTGTTCATTGAAAATATTTTTCACAAGCCACTGCCTAAAACTCTATGGCGTTTAGGCTTTCTATAAATGTATCCAGGAACAAAACACCTTTTCACAGGCATTTTCAAGAGTATATATGATTTATTAATAATATTAAACAAATATAATTTAACAAAAACAAACTTTAAGATTACACACAAGAGCAAAGCATACTGACATTTTAAAATGCCATGATGTCGTCCCGGCCTAATCCTGACGTCAACTGTTATGTCACTTGTCATTCCCGTCAGAATAATTCGTGTCTGTAGCGACCCAAGTGCCTGGATTTGTCCCTAACATTTGACAATAATCCATTGAAAAAAAATTTATGGCGGAAACTTAAAATATGCCGATAGGACTCTCTTACATATTCTTAAAATCCTCTATTTTTATGCTGATCATAATTATTAAGTATCTTTTTAAGGTTTTATTGGATGTATGAAGACAATACGAATTGATGGAAACAGTAAACTACCGACAGATTGGAAAGAAAACGAATATTGTTGTAAAGACGAGGTGGTATTTGATGCATGCAGAATGACGGACAGGTATACTCGTTAAAAGTTACAATGGGACGCAATCTTCTAAAATATATTTTTAGATGTTATCCAAATCCTTGCCAACATGGAGGTACGTGCCATCAAAACGCTGCCGAATTTTTCTGCGACTGCAAAGGAACAGGATATGGCGGTGCTGTATGTCATTCTGCTATTAATTCCTTATCCTGCCAGGCATACAAAAATGTTCAGGCCGTAGGGCCAAAAGCTGACATAAAGGTATATGTTTTAGATAGGTCTTATTTTTTCAGGTTATATTTTTAATATTTTAATTTATAAGTTTTAACAACCAACATATCAGATATCATTAAAATTGGGCTAGCCATTCTTGAGTTATAAATGGGACAACTAACCCGACTTTGTTTAATTTATATAGATTGACGTTGATGGTAGCGGACCTCTAGCACCGTTTCCGGTGACGTGCCAGTTTCTGCCAGATGGGCGTGTCGTTACAGTACTTCACCATAGCAACGAAGATACGACGCCTGTAGACGGATACCAAGAACCGGGAAGCTTCAGCCAGTTGATTCGGTACGATGCTGGTGATGATCAAGTAGCAGCATTGACTAACAGGTAAAGTTGATTGACAAGTATTACAAAATATGACATACAAAAATATATAAAAAATAAACATTTCGTACTTTAAAGCTTCAACAAGCTTCCTGCATTTTTACTATTTTATGATTGTAGCTTATGTACAAATAAATAAAAGTCTTAATATTGCACAGGAATAAATAAAACACAATATAAATTAATACAATATAAGTATACAGAGTGTATAAAACAATATTTTTTTCCATAGCGAGTTACGTTTTAAAAAATATTCAGAAATTATTATTTCAAGGAATTTATTACAAGTAGAAAAAATATTGTGCTGGGTTGGCGTTGGTTTCTATGTTTCTTTGACAAATAAATAAAGCTGTCTCTTTAGTTGTCAGTTTTGAGTCAATATTTTTTAATTCTCTTTCGTGTCGATTGCTGATTGAATTGGAGCCAGAAATGGCTCAAAACGAAATAAGTAAATTACCAACAGATATTCAGGCTGAGGCGACAAACGCCATATCCAAACTACTTCCATTTAAATCCTGAATAACTTATGAAAAGGAAAACAAAAATTTTCAAAAATGGAAGGAATTAAAAAACGTGCAAGAAGAAATAAAGTTTTTAACCTATCCGCGGTGTTAAAGTATCATTTAATCTACCCTTGCGAATAAAGTACTCACAGATTATACAGATTATAAACTTATCGTCAAAAGCATTGTTTTTCGTGGTTCCATTTTTCGGAGTCGCGCACTAGTTAGGTTACTAGCAGAGAGAACACTAATAACTAAAGTGAGCAGATAATAGGTACATTAAAGAAATGCTAACTTCATGTTAAAAAATGGAAACAGACGCCACCTGGTGTCGCCTGGCAGTACTAGCTAAATTGAGGGGAAAAGAGGAGAAATTTTTAAAAAAATATATTTATAAGTATCACTGACTTACTGTTTAAAGTTAATAAACATATTTTTTATTACTTTAATATAATTTAATGTATTAAAAAATATGTCTATGAATTTTACACAGCAAATCAATGATATTATTAAAGACTTAATAAATTTAATTATAATAATAATAAAATTAAATTATAAAATAATATTATAAAAATTAAATTAAAGACTTAGTAAATAAATTACACATTAGTAAACAATATCATTTTTATTTTTTAGAGCTGCGATTTATATTACAATAATATTGAAATATATATATTTTTTTAACAATGAAAAAGAATATCCCGGAACCTGAAAAAGAAAGATGATCAATTAATGACTTAAATTAGTTCAAAATACATTTTGCAAATAACTAGTGAATTGGAAAGATAAACATACTATTAAAAAGACATTTTAGTAGTATGTTATCATCTACTGATAATACACTATATAAGTATATAATAGGTAAATAACATGCATAAGGCCTTATGATACAACTATCTGTATCATGATAACACACTAATATGACAAAAATATATGCTAATTTAAATTCCTTTAATGATCTAATGAAACACTATCTAGCCTCAATGCATGCCATTCCAAAGGCAAAAAAAAACTGTTAACCAAATAAATATAAGCTGAATAAAACATAAACCAAGCCAACGTGCATAAAAAACCAAAAAATGCATCAAAAAATACTTTTATCAGATCATACCCTTGGATATATTATGTATTTTATATATCGCACATCCCGTTCAAAAGTTTACTAACTCAAAATAGAGAATATAGAGAACATTGTCAAGAGAAGTAAAAGAAAATTTAAGTTAAGGCAATATGCTCCTTTTTGGATATTAATGGCCAAATAATATAATGTTGATTTAATAAAATTTTACTGGCATCCTTCTGAGGTATAAATCAGATTAAAAGGACATTGTTTTTGTAATAATTGTTTGTTTTGTAAACATTTTTTGAAGACAATACAGTTTTGAACGGGCTGTGCGATATAAACAAGGATCTTACTATTATTTGAGGTTAGAAAGTATTTAAATAACATAAAACATAATCAAAATCATTTGTCATCATAAATTATAGAGGTACTTACGTGTTTTGATATTATTATCAGGAAATAATACGTTTAGTTAAACAGGTACGCTGCCAGGCAAGTTCTATCGGCGGGTCTTTGCAAAAGTTGAAATCTAAAAATACAAAACTACGTTTACATCTTAGTTGTATTTACGAATAAAGTATTTGTGTGTAATTTCTGACTTACCAGTTAATTGAATAATCGCATTAAATACATCCAAATGGTAATTTAATATTGTAAAAAGCAAAATTGTTTTAAATCACTTGCCAGGACAGCCCGGCCAGCTTCTTTGTTGACAAAATGGCCGCGGTATCATGATTTAAGCAATGTGAGTGACAAAGAAAGCCAATGCCTGGCAGATGTTGCTTTCTTTGTCGTTGGTCCTGGCACGTTTAAATTTGCCTGTTGCCTGTTTTCCCATACAAGTGACACCCCCGTGAAAGTGAGAGAGACCGATCAACGTTAATTTTTGAAGACTGTGTTAGTGGCGCGGCCTTTGGCGTCTAACCCGAACTATGAGCGTATTATCGATATAGTAGGTTGCATTTATACCTATATACAGGCGCCAAAAAATTAAAATTTGTATATTTGAACCGAATCTTAATCTTTCAAGTTTATAATAAGAAATCTTCGTAGTTTTTTTAGATTATTTTCTTGACAACGAAAATTTATTATTAGACTTTAAAGCATTAAAACCTATAAATAAAATACTGTGTAGGAACATAATAATTTATTTAACTCCAGACTCCTTGCCATACTCCAACTCAAGGCTGCAATCTTCAGTATCTTTTTTATCTAACTTGGTTGGGAGTGAACAGGGAAGCACGGTTTGGAGCTCGCACAGAGTATCAGTCGGTATCCCGTAGGTATTCAATGATTTTGATGGTCTTTATTCTATAACAAGAACCTAGCAGTGAAGAAAATAATTTGTATTACTGGAAATAATACCAGGTATAATACCTAGTCGTTCCATAGGTATCAGAAAAGAATGTGATGTTTTAAATTAAAAAAATTAAATTAGCAATGTACAATTATTATGTGCACTCACTATTACTATTAGGTATGTTAAAACAATTACCGAGATAAAACTTACCTTTAAAGGAAACGTTTTGTCTGGGTCTCAACCACAAAACAAAAATTACAAAATGCGGAATAATCGTGGAATCTGAAATAATCAATAATGACAATAATCTTCTCTTCTGACAAGCTAAAAGAACAGGCACATTCAGTCAAAAACAATTTATTACTCCGATTTGCTCCGATTATCAACAGATTTTAGTTATCTCCTTCTAGAACTAAGAAATAGAAAAAACTACTGACAATCTAATTAATCCTGTCAAATGTTTAACTTGCAAAGTTGAAAACTTCCTTTTTTGACCGCCTAAACGCTATGCGCGTCTGGGATGCGCGGTGACAAAATAAACTTGTCTACGAAATACTGTGTAGGAACATAATAATTTATTTAACTCCAGACTCCTTGCCATACTCCAACTGAAGGCTGCAATCTTCAGTATCTTTTTTATCTAACTTGGTTGGGAGTGAACAGGGAAGCACGGTTTGGAGCTCGCACAGAGTATCAGTCGGTATCCCGTAGGTATTCAATGATTTTGATGGTCTTTATTCTATAACAAGAACCTAGCAGTTGAAGAAAATAATTTGTATTACTGGAAATAATACCAGGTATAATACCTAGTCGTTCCATAGGTATCAGAAAAGAATGTGATGTTTTAAATTAAAAAAATTAAATTAGCAATATACGATTATTAGGTATGTGCACTCACTATTACTATTAGGTATGTTAAAATAATTACCGAGATAAAACTTACCTTTAAAGGAAACGTTTTGTCTGGGTCTCAACCACAAAACAAAAATTACAAAAATGCCGAATAATCGTGGAATCTGATATAATCAATAATGACAATAATCTTCTCTTCTGGCAAGCTAAAAGAACAGGCACATTCAGTCAAGAACATTTTATTACTCCGATTTGCTCCGATTATCAACAGATTTTAGTTATCTCCTTCTAGAACTAAGAAATAGAAAAAGCTACTGACAATTTAATTAATCCTGTCAAATGTTTAACTTGCAAAGTTGAAAACTTCCTTTTTTGACCGCCTAAACGCTATGCGCGTCTGGGATGCGCGGTGACAAAATAAACTTGTCTACGAAATACTGTGTAGGAACATAATAATTTATTTAACTCCAGACTCCTTGCCATACTCCAACTCAAGGCTGCAATCTTCAGTATCTTTTTTTTATCTAACTTGGTTGGGAGTGAACAGGGAAGCACGGTTTGGAGCTCGCACAGAGTATCAGTCGGTATCCCGTAGGTATTCAATGATTTTGATGGTCTTTATTCTATAACAAGAACCTAGCAGTTGAAGAAAATAATTTGTATTACTGGAAATAATACCAGGTATAATACCTAGTCGTTCCATAGGTATCAGAAAAGAATGTGATGTTTTAAATTAAAAAAATTAAATTAGCAATGTACAATTATTATGTGCACTCACTATTACTATTAGGTATGTTAAAATAATTACCGAGATAAAACTTACCTTTAAAGGAAACGTTTTGTCTGGGTCTCAACCACAAAACAAAAATTACAAAATGCGGAATAATCGTGGAATCTGAAATAATCAATAATGACAATAATCTTCTCTTCTGACAAGCTAAAAGAACAGGCACATTCAGTCAAAAACAATTTATTACTCCGATTTGCTCCGATTATCAACAGATTTTAGTTATCTCCTTCTAGAACTAAGAAATAGAAAAAGCTACTGACAATCTAATTAATCCTGTCAAATGTTTAACTTGCAAAGTTGAAAACTTCCTTTTTTGACCGCCTAAACGCTATGCGCGTCTGGGATGCGCGGTGACAAAATAAACTTGTCTACGAAATGCCCTATTCCACAAGCCCTCTCACTTTAGTTATTAGTTTCTCTCTGGTTACTAGTTTGCGCACATAGCACGCCCTCTTATGGCCTCTAAAATTGTGCACAGCGCCTGACCGGCTCAGTTATTACGCTGTTTAAACACGAGTTTATTTTTGCGCACAGGAAATTTTACTCGTTTGCTCATCGTCATAAAAAACAATTTTCGTACCACGAATTAGGGACAAGATTTTTATCTGTATACATACAGTATACCTAATCTGTGGTACTATTTTATCTACTATTTTTGATAGATATAAGGAAATTTTAACAGTTGCTCTGGCAAAAAGAAAATATTTTATTAATATTAATAATCATTTCAATAATTTACAAACACTAGCGGAATTTTATACATTAAAAGTTGGTTAATTAACTTTTTTATACCTCTACCTTTGGAGCTTATCTCTCTACAGTACCAAAATCTGTTATTATTTACCTATCGTGTGATGTCTTTATTTTACAACTACTTCAGTTTTTAGTACCATGTACGAGATGGTATACAAACTTTATTGGTGGCTAATACAACTATTTTGATGTACACTTTCTTTTTTCTTCGGTTATTTAACATAATTAGACACAAATAATAACCTATAATTTGGTAAGAGTTTGACAAGCCTCAAAAATCTTAACTCGTGTTTTCATCACTCCAACCATATTGAAATATGATCTGTCATTTTTGAAATAAACCAGTAAGACTGGTTAGAAATATCAAGAGACGCCATGACGGATTTATATATGGTAATTGCAAAACATTTTCCGATGTACGTCATCAATCATATCGAAATTGACACTAAAGCCTATAAACCTGACTAAATGAAATTTTGGCAAAATGTTTAAATTTGTTGTATAATTTAAGATACCGAGCAGCTCTTCATTTTACTTTAGAGGGCAAATGATTGTAACAGATATTTTATTTAGATTAAAGCTGCAAAAACGAGTTTAAAGCAATTTTTATTATCGCCATGTTGGTCGCATTGCGCCGTAATCAGCAACGTTGTCGTTTATTATTTGACAATTATCATGTCAGTCATTATTTTGTATAATATCGTGTTGTTGAATCTTTCGGACTAATTCTTGTTTTTTGCCGATTTTCATAGTTTTTTTTTAAATTGTACTTTCAAGCACAAACAGTTCTCTTAAGAACTAAATTTTCGAGTTTTTGTATTGCATTTCTTCATTTTCTTGCGTGTTGAAAATATGCCGAAGCATTTAAACAGTCGAAGCAAAGAGCTTGTAGCTTTCCTGATAAACTATTTTGAAAGAGAACGTGACAATAAAACTTCTTTATTACCCTCGACTACAGTCAGAGAAGTAAGTTTGATTCTTTGAATAAGAAGACTAAGGAAGGAGCATATCAAAAATCTTAGGTACACCGCGATGGGCCTCAAATATGGCCGACTTAAATTCCGGTTTATCAGTGCCGTTCTAATCTTATTTAAAAAATGTAAAACTATGATGTAGGGTAGACGTGGGGGAGACTCAATAATTTGTTATTCTATTTTACATTGTGAATAAATGTTGGTAGTTATTAAAATTGTTATAAAAATATAAAATTCTGATAAAAATAGATAAGTTATAATAATTATTTATTAACACAAACATCCGATACGCTACTGAAGCAGGTAAATCTGGTAAATCAAATTGACGTATCTAAATTCTTTGACATCTAATCTTTGACAAGTAGTAAATAAAAGCAAAAATGCAAGAAAAAATATATAATTAGTTAATTTAAGTGAATTTCATAAATGATCGGTTTACTACACGTATGTATATTATATATTCACTTACTAGCGAAAAGTTGTTCTATTATTTCACTCGATTTTTGCCGAGATCTACCGCACGCTACACAACCAACTATTTTAGAGTTTTTTTCGATAAATCGCGATAGTGTCACTGTTAATTTAAGTTCTGCCACAATTTCCATCTAGATTTACTACCTTTATACAACTATCAGTAGTAGAATAAATAATAAATAACATAAAATACGCTCCGTAAAGACTGACAAATCCATAAAATTTCAAATCAAATTCAAATGTGTCAAATGAATCGTCAAACAGAACTGTCAAGGATCCCCACCCTAGAGTGCTTTTATGGTGCTTTTTCCGCCCACCATGCATGAATACATGGATAGCATTATGCTCCTTCCTTAGTCTTCTTATTCAAAGGTTTGATTGGTATTATACAGGGTCTACAAAAAACTTGAGAATTTTGTTTAAGTACAAACCTAAACTATGTACCAGGATGTATTTCAGGAAAATATTTTAACTTCTATAGGGTGGCTCAAAAAAGTGTGTGTGGACCTGGATGATTTTTTTTAAATGGAACACCCTGTATATTATTGCATTTTTGGCTTCCTTTCAGATCACTTTACATAGCCCTAAGATATGAATAAATATATTTCGATAGTTTCAGAGATATTAAAAAATAAATCAAAAATATATATTTTTCAGCTCTTCTTAAAAAAATTATTAAAAATACAAGAACTGTTCTGAAATCAAAACTATATTAGGTATTTACTTTAGAATGTCTTTTCTTACTTTGCTATAAATATGGTAATCGTAAATCATACAGGATGTTTACTATTCTACGCCATACTTTCTAAAATATAAAATATTTTTTCTTTGTTTTTTAAATGGAACACCCTGTATATTATTTTTTTATTAGATGGAGAGTAAAAAAATGAGCATTTTTTGTATTTAAAGTATTTCAAAATTTTTAACGGTTTCGCAGATACACGCATTATTATTTCATATGGCGCTTTCAATGGCAAAATACGAGAAAAAATCATTGGGTGGTTTTGATAAAAATTTACTGTGGAAAATGCCATATAAAATATAAAACCGCAAATATCTGCGAAACTGTTAAAAATTTTGAAATACTCTAAATACAAAAAATGTTCATTTTTTAATTCTCCGTCTATTGAGAAAATAATATACAGGGTGTTCCATTTAAAAAAACCTAGAAAAATTATTTTATATTTTAGAAAGTTTGACGTAGAATAGTAAACATCCTGTATGATTTACGATTACCATATTTATAACAAAGTAAGAACAGACCATCTAAAGTAAATACCTAATATAGTTTTGAGTTCAGAACAGTTCTTGTATTTTTAATAATTTTTTTAAGAAGGGCTGAAAAATAAACATTTTTGATTTATTTTTTAATATCTCTGAAACTATCGAAATATATTTATTCATATCTTAGAGTTATGTAAAGTGATCTGAAAGGAAGCCAAAAATTCAATAATATACAGGGTGTTCCATTTAAAAAAAATCATCCAGGTCCACACACACTTTTTTGAGCCACCCTATAGAAGTTAAAATATTTTCCTGAAATACATCCTGGTACATAGTTTAGGTTTGTACTTAAGCAAAATTCTCAAGTTTTTTATTCTAGGAGCTACAGATGCCTAACGCACTATTGCCGGACCCTGTATAAGGTTTTAGACAGTTTATGAGAAAATAATTTACGTCTTTTTATTCCAACAGGTCTTCCACCTGCGCTCAGCACATTCGCTACAGCTGCAAGAGCGCCCGCCTGTTCAACTCGCCATCGGAGGAGAACAAGTTCCAACCATACTCCTGGTGGGTGTCCAGGAAGAACCAGAAAATGGACTACTGGGGTGGCGGCTTGCCCGGCTCCAGAAAATGCGAGTGTGGCGTATCTGGTACCTGCGTCGATCCTACCAGATGGTGTAATTGCGATGGTGATTCTGAAATCTGGCTGGTCGATCAAGGTAAATGATTTATTCTCGGTAGTTGGATCTCCTATAGGCTTGGTGAATTCTCCGCCGGTGCTGCCACCAACGGAGAATATCGTAAACAACTAGTATATATATGTCGTAGTCTCATAGTGTATTCCGTCTTTTCATGAAGATCCTAGTCACTTCATGAAATACACTAACCTAATAACCTAACTAAACTCCTAATCTAACCGACGCTTCATGAAGTGACCTAGGATCTTCATAAAAAGACGAAATACACTACGAGACTACGATATATACATATACACGGGTTTAAAAAAGTGTTAGGAAGTATAATTTGTGAAAATTCTAAAAATAAAAATAAAAAAGGGAATATTTTAATATCTTCAGAAGGTCTAACTTGTATTATAATTTATTATTCCAGCTAAAAAATCTTTTTAGATGAGTTCAACTATGGTAGCGATCATAGTTTTAATTACTGGTTTTGCTAGCGGGGTCATAATTGGGGCTATTTCGGCGATAACGAAATTTTTTTAAGGTACTAATTATAATTTTAGAAGATGTTGATAAAACATTTAATCACCAGTTGATTAAAAAAAGTATACCATTAATACTGTAAATTATATTTTATCCTCTCATTATGTGTATTTATTTTTTTGATTATGTAACGAGCACTGTTTGTTCACTTGTTTCGTCGAACTGCTTGAATCCATTTTTGCTTTTGGTCAAATCGGTGTAAGAAACTATAAAGCTATAAAATGTTGTTTCGGGAGAGTTGAATATCCGGGAAAGTTGAGTTATTGAATATTACTGCACCCAACAACGCCCTAATTACGCCCTCCTTTACTTGTTAACATTTTTTCGGCAATTTTATTAACATTTGAAATTGTCACAACACAACACGACGCGACGCCTAACGGGTTCTTCACTTATATGTTACTACCCGAAACAGCGTTACATCACACACACCTCGCATAAATAAAACAATTTAAACTTTTTAGGAGAACTGAACGAAAAAGAAGATCTTCCCGTTAAACAGTTGCGTTTTGGCGACACTGGCAGTGCTCTAGACGATAAAGAAGGAAGATACACTCTCGGACCTTTGAGATGTGAAGGAGACAGTCTATTTACTAACGTAGTAACGTTCCGTATCTCGGACGCAACTATAGATCTGCCTAACTTCGATATGGGACATAACGGAGACATCTACTTCGAGTTTAGGTAAGTGTGGTTTTAGAAGACACTTTTTCTATAGTCAGTCCAGCGGAAGAATGTATAACAGTGACAGTTGTAGTACCCGTCAATTTAATTAGAATCTAGGTTGTATTCTGACATGTCTCTTCCTTTGCTGGACAGACTTTACCTAGTTTATTACCTCAGAAGAAGTTATAATTGATTTTAACTTGCTTTAGAACGGCGACTGAAAATGCAGTTTTGTTCCACGCCAAGGGACCAACAGATTATATAAAATTGACTATCGTTAATGGGAATCAACTACAATTTCAGTATCAGGCTGGAGCCGGCCCTGTGTCTGTATCAGCGGAAGTTTTATCTTATAAACTGTCTGATGATGAGTGGCATACAGGTTAGTAAAGATTGATAATACAGAATGATCTACAGTGATTGAAATAGTTGGCAATACATAGTTAAAGCAATTTGTTTCTTACTGAATTAATATAAGCTTATATTGTCTTGGTTATCCTAATCATACATAGTCAACTCTCTTGGGATTAACGGGAATTAAGATGCCATAATTCCCTCTACGTTTTATAAGTAACAACCATAGAAAATAGAAAACATAATTTTTTATAAAAATGTTTAATATCATTATGATTTAATCATAATGAGAAATCGGAATCATAAAGTCTTAACAACCGTGGGCAATTATTGAAGAAACTTTGCCCGCGGTGATAATAGTACGAGAGCTAGCAACGTCGGAAAAACAAGTTTTTTAAGACGTCTGGCTCTTTGATATATCTTTTACTATGCTCTCTAGAACAGCATGCGGCCCATCTGACTGCCGGTAAACGTTGCGTTCCTTACTGGGCATTGAAAGAAGATCCTATATTTTTATTAGTCCTTTAAATTCTAGTATTGAATATAAATCGAACATGTCTCTATAGAGCAGTGCGTAGAGATTCTGACCACGAACCGATGATTCAGAGTTCGAATCCGGGTCAGGACAAAGACTTTTTTATTTTTTTCGCTTATATTCTAAAGTATTAATTTTTTTTTAATTACCAGAATTATTTAATACTTTACTATCAGAATATAAACGAAAATAAAATAAAAAAGGCTTTGACCTGACCCGGATTCAAACTCTGAATCATCGGTTCGTCAGAAACTCTACGCACTGCGCCATGGAGACATGTTCGATTTATATTCAATACTAGAATTTATAGGACTAAATTAATAAAAAAAATAGGATATTCTTCCGATGCGCAGTAGTGAATGCAACGTAGAGGTGTGTAGTTCGTGAACGAACTAGTTCCAATGAACTATCCTGACCCCGGAATGAAAGGAACTAGTTCCTGGTTTCTCAAAGAACTGGTTCCTCAGGACCTATACCGGGATCGAGACTGTGACCGATACAGAATAATATGCGACGGCGACGGATCGGCTAGCGCGCGTAGCCCGATGGTAGGCAGGAGTGGAGAGTGCCAGCCATACGTTATCGGATCCGGACCTAGAGGAACTAAACTAAATAAAAGACTAGTTTACGTACGAACGAATCGGGCCAGCGCGGTCGATGCTAGGCAGGAGTGGGGAGTGCCAGCCGTATGCCGTATATTATCGGATCCGGACCTAAAAGAACTAGAGGAACTAAATAAAATAGTTTACGTATGGATCAGCCAGCGCGATTGATGCTAGGCAGGTGTGGGGAGTGCCAGCCGTATGTTATTGGATCCGGACATAGAGGAACTATTAAAAGACTAGTTCACGGGAATATATTCAGTCGGCAGATTCGAGATATAATACAAGGCGACGACGATGGATTGTCTATTGCCACAGTCGGCGCGGCGTAACAGAAACCACAGAAAATTGTCGTGGATACTGTTTTTGATTTTTAGTTTGTTTTTTAAATATTTTATGGGAATGTTTCACTTTAGGTCCCTAAAATTAAGAAATATCTTTTAAAACAAAGTAGATATTCTGAATTTTTAGACAAAAACAAAAAGCTTGAAATGAGGAAAAATGCATTTTTTCGTAAAATTTTTGTAATATTTGCTCCAATTGATTTGTGATATAGTTTTTTAAATTCTGATTTGAGTTTTTTATTTTTTTTTATCTGCAATAAAACTTACCTATATGTTTTTAACATACACAATTACACGTCTCGATATATCTCCGTACATTATAAAAATTATACAGATCATACTGTGAATAGTTCTGACTGACAACGAAACGCATTAGCAAGCAAGGGGGATGTCAATGTTAGTCGGGAACTATTGTGAACTAAAGACCTAGTTCAAGGAACTATTCCTCTGGAGGAACTAGAACTAAGGAACTATATTGTGTTTCTTATTATATTTTATACTAATTTAAAATGATGGAAATATTCTAGTATCCGTGGAGAGGAACAGAAAGGAAGCTATGATAGTCGTGGACGGATCACAAAAAGTTGAGGTTAGAGAGCCGCCAGGCCCAGTGAGGGCTATCCACCTTACTTCTCCTTTGATCATCGGAGCATCCACGGATTACAGGTGCAGTATTATTTAATTTATGTATACCCGGTCTCCCGTAATCCATAATGCGTAAACAAGAGATACGAAGATGATTAAATTAAAGAAAAGTTGCGTCTTATTATATCCTACAACGGCACCTTTCGGAATTAAAAAATAAATCCGATTACTTATTATATACAGTATGTCCCCGGATTGTCTTTACAAGAGGAACAACTTTTCTATTGACATTTTGAGAGCATTTTTCATAAAAATTTTTGCTTGTTCTAAAATGTTTCCAAATTTCCATATCATTTTAGAGAAAATTGACATGAAGATATAGTTGAATTTTTTCTAAGTTCTAAAAATCATAAGGCGTTTCTATGGTAATATCAATTCGATGGCATTCTTTGATGGATGGTTATTATTAATTTTGATTAACGCCATACCCCATAGATAAATGAAACAAGTTTAGATTGGAAAGTGCCCATAAGGACAATGTAAACACTATTTGGCGCTATTCTTGCAACGGTCGCGACCCAAAACTTTTGAAAATTTCGGAGCGGTTCGGCTTTTTCCGGGATTATATCGCCAAATATTGTTTATTCAAATTTATTATTATTTTCGTTTAATTTTATAAATAAAATACAGTGTGTTGCATACAAGAAACTTTATTTTATGTAAGGACGCATGTATGAAATACCTATGAAACATTGGAAACCGACGTTATGCCACGATCCAAGATGGTTTTTGCAGTTCACAGCACAGCTTTTTAAGTTATTAATGCCACATTTTCACAATTATCACCGGTTGGAGTAAATAAAACTTGAATTAAACTCACAAGATAGCAATAATTACTTTGAAAATGGACGCTATAAACACTTTTCGGGATTTCTTTAATGAGAGCGGTTTAGATTTTGAAAGTATATTATGATTTTTGAAGATTCTGACTTTGACAAGAGAAAATTATTTCTGTTTTTGTTTGCCGTTGTTCTTAGCGACCGCTATAGCAGCGCCAGATCGCGTATAACGGTCGCGACCCAAAATAATTTCGCGATCCAAAATTTATACGGGCTTTCCAATCTAAACTTGTTGCATTTATCTATGCTATGCCCTTTGCTGTTAAAGTATTACATTTTCCAATAACTGTCAATAACTACTAAAGATGGCGTTAATTAAAATTCTATAAATAACAATCAAAGAATGAAAACGAAGTTATATTACCATAGAAACGCTTTTGATTTTTAGGAAAAAATTCAACCATATTTTCATGTTTTTTTTAGTTTTCTCTAAAACGGTATGGAAATTTGGAAAAGTATAAACGGGATTAATTATTTTAGAAGAAGCAAACATTTTTATAAAGAATGCATTTTTCTCAAAATGTCTATAATAAAAAATGTTTTTCTCTTGTAAACACAATTCGGGGACGTACTGTATATTAATTTTACCGATTTTGATTTTTTTTTCTCCCAAATTTTTCGACTCCCATTGAGAGTCTCATTGCTATTTTTCCTGATCTTCAAGTTGAAGTTACTAGATTTTCAATCGGACGTTTCGTTTCAGATGCCATCATCAACCCTTTTTTAGATACTAGAAAAATTGTTTCATTTCTATAAAACTCTATAATGTCATTTGTATAATTTTAGAGATGGCTTTACCGGATGTATTAGAGCTCTTTTAATCAATGGACAGCATATAGACTTGAGAAGTTACGCAAGAAGAGGTCTGTATGGTATTTCCGAGGGTTGTGTCGGTAAATGCCAGAGCAATCCTTGCTTAAACAACGGGACGTGTTTTGAAAGATATGACAGTTATATGTGTGACTGCAGATGGACCGCATTTAAGGTAAAATTTTTAATTAAATCTTAATCAGAATTAATCTACATACAGTAGATTTCGAATGTACATACATATATGAATATAAAAATAGTATATAAGTCTCTCTTTCTCTTTCATCTTTTTTTAGTCAATGTTTTGTTTAAAAAAAGGAAACAAAAATCTTGAAAATGTTTGTTTTATTTAAAAAATATTACCTTTTTAGGGACCGATATGCGCTGATGAAATCGGTGTCAATATGAAGGCCAGTTCAGCTGTCAAATACACGTTTGACGGATCGTGGCGTTCCACCATAGCGGAACACATCCGTGTCGGGTTTACCACAACAAATCCCAAAGGTTTTCTGCTTGGTTTTATCTCAAAGATCAGTAAAGAATATTTGACTATCATGGTATCCAATTCGGGCCATTTGAGGGTTGTGTTCGATTTTGGTTTTGAACGGCAAGAAGTCATATATCCCGATAAGCATTTCGGTTTGGGACAGTATCACGATCTCACGTAAGTTTTCTATGTATATTTAATTTTTGTACGTAATATTTAGGTCCTGTAACCTTGTAACACCATGTACTTATTATAATACAGGTTGTAATTTATAGAATATTATTAATGTTAATATGTTACAAAAATCATTACTTAATATGTTAAAACTAAAAATAATACGTTGGTTCAATTTTGCATAAGAGTAGTTCAAATGTCCCCTATGCTAAACATTTACAAATATTTATTTTTTTGAAGCAAATTAAATGCTTCATGAAATTATACCTACGGTAATCGCAAAACATTTTCCAATGCACGTCATCAATCATATAGAAATTGACACTAAAGCCTATAAACCTGACTAAATGACTAAATGAAATTTTGGCAAAAATGTTTAAATTTGTTGTATTATTTAAGATACTGAGCCGCTCTTTATTTTACTTTATAGAGCAGATGATTGTAACAGATATTTAATTTATATTAAAGCTGCAAAAATTAGTTTAAACCGAATTTTATTATCGCTATGTTGGTCACATTGCGCCGTGTTCAGCAACGTTCCCGTGTATTATGTGACAATAATTATCATGTCAGTCAATATTTTGTATAATATCGTGTTGTTGTTGAATCTTTGTGAGCAATTCTCGTTTTTTGCCTATTTTCATAGTCTTTTTTTAAAAATTGTACTTTTAAGCACAAACAGTTCTTTTAAGAACTAGAACTTCGAGTTTTTGTATCGCATTTCTTGAAATTGTGTGTTGAAAATATGCCGAAACATTTAAACAGTCGAAGCAAAGGGCTTGTACCTTTCCTGATAAACTATTTTGAACGAGAACTTGACAATAAAGGTGCTTTTTCACATACATTCACACACATAAATAATTAACCCGTAATAAGGCTTAGAATAATCTTCATAATATTGTAATAAGTAAAATAAGCTATAAAACAAATAATTAACTACTAAAATATTAATTATTAAATTAAGAATAAAACGTAAAAATCTTTAAAAAATGATATAATAAATATATTAATATATACTATATAAGATTTATCACGTGCATCGGAAATTGTTTTGCGAATATCGTAGGTAAAAGTTTTTATATTTAATTGAAAATTATAGTACAATGTATACAGGATCGGCAACAGAGAGTCTTGGGTAGGTATTTCTAGGAGTAAATTGCTATGGCGATCTGGTGAGTTGGAGAGAGAATAATTCGAAGTGTTTATTACATAACTACTTAATCTGGCGCGTTTTTCACGAGCTTGTTCTTCTCTCTTTGTTCAGTACTAAGCGGCACTGTATCTTATTGTATCGAAGACATTGACTGTACTATTAGTACACACCAAAATCGGGACTCAAAAGCTAAACGTTGCCGACCGTGTATACGTAGTAGTTCAAATGTCCCAATCTTAAATAGATGAAAGTGTGCAATTTTTTGTGGTACAAATTAAAACTATCATGGTAATATCTAGTACTATGTTTAAAATATTTAATTTGTACCTAGCTTTTACTACTTTTACATTTTTAAAATATTTTTCATTGTAGTTTGTCGAGAAAGAATGGAGGATCGACATTAGTGATGAAAGTGGACAGCTATGAACCAAAGGAATTCCATTTCAACATCAAAGAATCGGCAGATGCCCAATTTAATAACATTCAGTACATGTACATTGGTAAAAATGAGTCTATGAGCGAGGGATTCATTGGTTGCGTGTCTAGAGTCGAATTTGACGACATTTATCCGTTGAAACTTCTGTTTCAACAAAAGGGACCAGGAAATGTTAAAGTACTGGGAGGTGAGTTTAAAAATATTATACCGTATGATCGAATAAAAACGGCGTCCAGTTGGCTTGGAAATGACGATCGATGGCATTTCCTATATAAATTTACATATAAAATGACAGCGATCTTCATTTCATAGCCATCGCTGACGCCGTTTTTATTCGATCATACGGTAGTACTGGTCTGTAAAACGTGAGTATATACACACATGGCCAAAATTATTGCATATAACGATATTTTTATTTTATTTTTGACCTAATATGATTCTTGTTATATTTTTGGACATATTGTCTTACTACACGACTAACTAATATAAAATTAAAAATCTAAGTGCAACTAGGCTGTTATTATAATTTTATTTCATAATGAGTGAAAATCAACAAAAAGAAATTTCATTTTAAACAGAAAATATTGAAAACAATTTTAATTATTTCTCACAACTAATAGTCTGTATTGCCTCCTCGAGCCTCAATGCAAGCTGTGAGACGACGTGGCATGCTCTCAATTAAGTTGTCCAGAAGATGTTGAGGAATGGCTTCCCATGTTTCACGCCCAGCAATTTTCAATTCATTTAAGGTACGGGGGGATCATCCCTTTTGGCAATATGGCGTTTTAGCATGTCCCAAGCATGCTCGATCACATTCATATATGGAGATATCGGTGGCCACCACAGTTTTCTTATACCCTCTTCCTCACAAAATTCGTAAACCGCTAAAGTGCGATGGGGAGGAACATTATCGTCCACACACCAAACAAATTCATCCCCACTGGCTCTAAAACGTCTCTAAGATATGAGGCACCTGTCACTGTGTCATCAATAAAAACAAGAGTAGTTCGAGCTCCGTGCATTATACCTGCCCATACCATAATGCTTCCCCCTTGAAACGGGACACGGGGTTGAACTGCATTCAAGCGTGCTCGTCTTCCAGATGCTCTCCAGACCAAAGTTCGTCGCGAGTCTAGGCCTATTCTTGTTTCATCACTAAACATGACGAAATTCCAATTAGGTCCATTTGCTCTCATTTCCTCAGCCCATTGTAGTCGCGTAATTTTGTGCTGTAAATTAAGCTTCGGAACACGTAGAGGCCTCCTTAAACGTACTCCTCTGTCATGGAGTCTTCTTGCTATGGTCTTTCTCTTTCATTTATTCCTTCAAGGCGAGCTAACTCATTTTTAATAGCAGTACTAGAAAGCAGGGGATTGTGTCGTACAATTGGGATATTTGACGGTCTTGCGCAGTAGTAGTAACTCTCATTCTACCTCTTCCAGGCCGGTCTGTAACCTCGTTTCCCTCCCTGATTTTTTTTAATATTCGCGAAACATCGCGTTGGTTTGGCAATTTCAGCTATTGCAACTTGCCGCTAGCCCTGTTGAGACAGTGTTACTATTCTGACTCCATTAAACTGTGAAATAATGTTTCTAGGCATTTTAAGGCCAAAGCATTGGTCAAATTTCTTCTGAAACTCAAGAGACCACAAATCGAAATGTGCAAGAATTTGTAATAATATTGGGTCTGAACGATAAACATTGTTTACCATATCAATTTTTACAAAAAAATGTTTATTACAGATTATCAAAGCTATGTATAAAAAAAAGATTCTTTAAATTCCTTTCTGTATATTTTTAAACGATATATGCAATAATTTTGGCCATGTGTGTAGAGTCCGACCTGCACTTGAACGCTTTTTTCATACAGTAGAATATTTCGTAACTCGTTTGCTAATTGTAATCATATTTCTCGAGGAACTGTAATTTTGTGAACATAATAGGCGATTCGTTAATTTCAGAACCTTTAAACGAAGACTTCTGTGGTGTGGAGCCTATAACTCATCCGCCCGACACAATCGAAACAAGACCGGCACCTAGTATCGACGAGGACAAACTAAGGAAAGCTTACAATCAGACTGACTCCGCTATCTTAGGAAGTAAGTCGTTAAGAATTTCTCTTCACTTGCCTAAAAATAGTATAGACCTGGCATTCCATTCATTAATTGTACTTTGTTTTGTCTTCATTAAGGTTGATTATTACTATACCTTCCGTTTCCTTTCCATATCCGTTCCGTATTTTTGATTGTATTGACGCTATACGTAAGCTTCCGTTCCGTATCAGTTCCATACTTTTTATTGTACAATTTATATCATTACGAAAGTTTTATTTTAAAAATTTATATCTTTTGAAAAAGGTAATGGATTTAATTAAGAGGTGAATGAATAAATAAATATCAGCAAAATGTTAACTGAGCTGGTACGAAGTAAGAACTTGACAACAAATGAGACTGTTGCAGTCCGGGTGGCGGGAGGATGCCCGCAGGGGGGAGTTCTCTCCCCTCTGCTGTGGAATCTCGTTATGGACGGACTGCTTGATAGTCTCAACAGGGCTGGTTTCAGCACTCTGGGATACGCAGACGATTTGGTCGTGTTAGTCAGAGGTAAGTTTAACACAACAGTAAGGAAGCGAATGCAAAGGGCCCTGAAGATTGTGGAATCATGGGTGACACGGGAGGGACTAAATATCAGTCCTACCAAGACCGTAATAATCCCCTTCACCAAACGAAGAATTTTGGAGGGACTAGGACCTCTAAGACTCTGCGGTGATGAGATTCCTCTCTCGGGGGAGGTCAAGTATCTAGGAATCATGCTGGATACCAAACTGACCTGGAACCGACATTTGGAAAATGTCACAAGGAGGGCGGTGACTACACTAGCGGTAGTCAGACGACTTCATGGAAAAATCTGGGGCCTCAGACCACAGATGGTGCACTGGCTGTACACTGGAGTGGTGAGGCCTTCAGTAACATATGCATCCTTGGTATGGTGGCCTAAAGTAATGCTACAAACAACAATTTCAGCCTTAGTAAGGTGCAAAGACTTGCTTGTCTGAGCATAACAGGGGCAATGAAATCAACGCCCACTGCATCAATGGAGGCGCTTCTGGATCTTCCGCCTCTTCACATAGTGATCCAGGCGGAGGCAAGAATGGGACTCTATCGACAACAAAGTGTCTTGTCTCCGGGAAATAGGACAGAAACAGGACACTTAAAGATGGGAGATTCTATCGGAGGATCTCTACTCCAAATGAGATCGGACCAAATGACCCCTCTTTATCACTACCACAAACCATTCGAGGTGAACAAAATGGATCGAGGAATGTGGACAGATATAACATTCCTTCAGGATGGACTAACCTGGTATACAGACGGGTCAGAGACCGCTGAAGGAACAGGAGCTGGAGTATTTGGGGAAAGACCAAGGGCAAGCTTATCCTTTTCCTTGGGTAAACACTCAACCGTATTCCAGACAGAAATCTTCGCCATTCTACAATTTGCAAGAGAAAACAATAGAAGAGCTTATTCAGGGAAGCTCATCAATATATGCTCAGACAGTCAGGCGGCACTTGGGGCGCTTATGAACCCAAAAGTATCGTCGAGACTCGTCTGGGAATGCCTGGGTGAACTGCTAGGCTAGAACCGGAGGAACTATGCTCCCATCCTATCAAGGACCTGCATAAGCTAGTGCAGGGCACAGGGATAAGAGAATGGGTGCAGATATAGAAGGGGGACAAACACAATAGCCCTCACAGGTCGCAGTGTTTCCGGCAGAGGACGGCCCCTTGTTATGGAAAAAAAAAGAATTTGACAACGCTGTTTCCGATACGCTTCAGTCTGTCCGCCAAAAAATGTATGAAAGGAAAGGATATGGAACGGAAGGGAAACGGAACGGATAGTGTGCATTGTCCTATTCATTTACATGATGTAATATTTTATGTAAACGGAAGGGAAACGGAAGGGAGCTGATATGGAAGGTATAGTGAGAATCAACCTTTACTATATTATTATTGTACATGTTCACGTTATACCCTGTTCCTATATCATGTCATTTAAAAACATTATTTAATTTTTTTTAAACGACATATAGACATCAGTGTCAAAAACAGAGACAGTTAGATAATTGAATGTCTCTGATATGATTTCAACAAGAATGAATCGAATTTACTTATCCACGTAGATTATCAGATCTATAGGCTAAAACAGGTTTTGGAAACAATTTTTTTTAGAAAACTTCCTCCATATAAATGTTTTAATTTCGATATATTTTTTTAAGGTGTCCTAGCAGTACTCTTCCTGGCTTTGGTAATATTATGTATTATCATCGGAAGGTATCTTCATCGGCATAAAGGCGAGTATCTGACGCAAGAAGATGCTGGTGCGGATGCGGCTTTAGATTCAGACGATGCAGTGGTACACGGTACAACCGGCCATCATGTCCAAAAGAAGAAAGAATGGTTCATTTAAGACAAAAACTGAAAAAGGTGTTTGTTATACACTGCCTTTATTTTTATTTAACCAACATGAAATTTGTTTCAGTTTTCAGGCTGTTATATTCTTTTAGTATGATATTAGCGTAAATAACAGGCTTTAGGATGTTTTAAATAATTTCTAACCATTATCAACGTCTCTGTAATTATTCGAATTTTAAGACATTATTTTTTTATGATTGAGATTTAGTTATAATTTATAATCAATGCAAATCAATTTCCGATATACGTCATAGCTTTCCACTCATGCCAGGTGTGGGCAATGTTGCCAGATGCTAACTAAAATTTGTAAGTATGCGATTATTGAAACTACATAATCTGAAGACACAAAATCATTGTGGGAACATTAGACCAATGATAGAAAAGTTGTCAACTTTGAAGAAATAAAAGTCAAATTAAAATTATTTTTGAAATTTTCTAAAAACTAAAATTATGTGTTTTTGTCTGTCAATCCGGAGTTTAACCATAGTTTTTTTATTGCAAATAATTAATCCTCAGACAATTTTATGACACCTGTATTAAAGTAGGTATAAAATTAATTGTATAATAAAACTTAAGGAACTTACGTTAAAATTATCTTCGCAGCAAAATTTCGTACTTTTGCTGACATATTGTTGTCTTTCAACCAGTCTTTTCGACGGCTTTCATCCAAAGGAACAGTTATAAAAACTTTTTCTGGAGAGCCTTCAGAGTTATTTAGCTCCTTTCACAAAACAAACTTTAACACCCTTCATTACAAAAATAATAAAGAGGGTACAATAAAACAAAACTGAAAACTCAAAGTATTTAACGCCAAACGCAAAATCCACAAAATACAAATCTAACCTCGAACCCTCGAATGCCTCGAACATCCGAACAACTTTGGTAGTGTTTAGTGCTTCAATAAAAATGGCATTAACCTGTTAATTATAAAAATTTAAGTTTTAATTTCTAGTAGTAAAAAATATAAAAGTAAATTTAATATTGGGGTAATAAAGAATAATCCCACATAAAAACGTATTTTTTAACGATCTTAATAAAAATAGAAAAATCTATCGTGATTTTAAGATATATGGTGTAAATACGGTAGCAGAGAACTAGACACGCCATAATATTCTTCTTCAGAGGCTCGCGCCCTCTGTCAACTATTCCGTCAAATGCTGATAGGTGACGTCACAATTTTCTACGCGTCATTTCAAACCAGTGAAATTTGTAATGAATTTGATTTATTATTTATTCCTTAATTGTAACTTCGTTGCATTTCTTTTTGTATTGAGGGACTACTTTTTAATCATTTCAATTGAATTTTATATTAAAAATAACAAAAATTTACTATGGTTAAACACCGGATTATCAGCTGTGTGATGACGTGCATCAGAAATTGTTTTGCGTTAAATATATATAAGTAATAAGTTTTACTACATGATACAGGGTGTTTCAAACATATGTTTGCGAGGTTTTAGGGAACAATTCCTTGAATGATATTAGAACAAGTTATGAGAAGCTAAAAAAATGGTATTTTATTGGGACAAAAATAATTTTAAAACGTTATAAGAAAATCCTTCATACTATTATGTTGTTTGTCCTAATATACATATAATTTGAACCATTTTTTCTGTAATTTAGACATTACACATTTTATAAAATTCGATTCTAAAAAATCTTTGAGAATCTCCACTCTAAAATCTTCAAGTTCTTCTCCTTTAGTTTTGAAACACTCTGTATAATATAATAGTAGAGTACGAACTGAAATTAACTGTCTTAAAGAAAAATTGTGTTACTACATATCTTAATTTTTAATTTAATTTAAGGAAAATCGCTTTTTTAAAGGCCTATACAGTACAAGTATTGAGTTTATTTTTCCGTCCATTTTTTTTAATTTGTATATTATTTTATTTTTTTTATATTTTATATAATTTTCTGTATAAGGTTTTGTACAGGGTGTCCCACTGAGAATAGCTCTCGGCTATATCTCGGAAAGTATTAGCCGTAGCGGCTGCGGAAAAAAATATTTATGACTAAAGAGGCTATGGGAAATTGCTGGAAATTATTTTCAAGTTTGTAGAACGACTGCTAGGGGGCGCAACTGCACCAAAAAATAAGAAAATGGAGTTTTTACACAATTTTGCCTAGATAAGTAACAGCTTCATAATCTTCAGTAAATTTTGAATATTTTTTGTTAGACCCATTTTCCCCTATCTACCAAAATAAAGTGGTGGGGGAAGGTTAGATCTGTTTTTATTTGAATATTAATAACTCTGGACTGGATGATCGGAATCCAACAAGCGAGGGCTCGTTTAAAAGAGCGTTTCTTACTCTATATTGTACCATATAAACAATAATAATAAACTTTTGAACCTAGACGCTAGGGGGCGTTGTCTTACTATTTAACAAACATTGCGCGTTTTTTCAAAAAATTAAATGCAACAGCATATGTAATTTTAGCTGATAGTAAAGAGTAGTAAAAGCTTAAAAAGTCAGCGAAAACCGCATCTTGATATCTTCTTTCAAACCGAAGATATTAGCAAAATTATAATAAATACCAAAAAATAAGCCCTTAATAACCTTATTTTTACAACACGGTATCAGTAGCCCTCTTGATTATGCCCGTTCTAATCTAAAAATAAGATAGAAACAGTTAGTTTATTTTAAAATCGACGATATACCAGAATATCATAATATCAAATGTATTAATATCTAATAATTAAGATATTAATAATAGTGAACAAGAAACGATGATTCAGTGAAGTCATGGTAGGCTTTGGAAAAAAGTTGCTTTTGACGTAATAGTATAAACGTCAAATTGTTATTAGATCAACATTTTGACGTTTATACTATTACGCGGAAAGCAACTTTTTTCCAAAGCCTACCATGACTTCACTGAATCATCGTTTCTTGTTCACTATTATTAATATCTTAATTATTAGTTATTAATACATCTGGTATTATGGTATTCTGGTATATCTTATTCGTATATTCTATCTTATTTTTTTGTTATAATGGGCCTAATCAAGAGGGCTACTGATACTGTATTGTAAAAATAAGGCAATTGGACTTATGTTTTGGTATTTATTATAATTTTGCTAATATCTTCGCTGTTTTCGCTGACTTTTTAAGCTTTTACTACTCTTTACTATCAGCTAAAATAACACATACTATTGTATTTAATTTTTTTGAAAAAAACGCGCTATGTTTGTTAAATTGTAAGAAAGCGCCCCCTAGCGTCTACGTTCAAAACCTTATTATTATTATTTTTATGGTATAATATAGAGTAAGAAACGCTCTTTTAAACGAGCCCCCGTTTGTTGGATTCTGATCATCCAGTCCGGAGTTATTAACATTTAAATAAAGATAGATCTAACCTTCCCCACCACTTTATTTTAGCAGTTAGGGGGAAAATGGTTCTAACAAAAAATCCAAAATTTACTGAAGATTATGAAGCTATTATTTATAGTACCCGTTATCTAGGCAAAATTCTGTAAAAAATCTATTTTCTTATTTTCCATAGCAGTTGCGCCACCTAGCGGCCGTTTTACAAACTTGAAAATAATTTCCAGCAATTTCTCATAGCCCTTTTAGTTATAAATATTTTTTTCCGTAAGCCCTACGGCTAATACTTTCCGAGATACAGCCGAGAGCTATTTTTAGTGGGACACCCGGTACGTAATAATCGAAGTTGAATAGTGTCGGTACTTATTAACTTGTAATAGTGCCTTGGGCATATTTTACATTGTCACAATTCAAAACGAAAAAAACTGTAGTTGAAAAATTATTTATTTGATAAATAAAAAATGTACAACTTTTTTTCTTTGATATTTTATTGCAACCAAGTTCAAATAAAAATAGTCGAAATGATTTGAGCTTATTCATCGACATAAAGGAAATATATAATATAATATAAAGGCATAAAACACTTAAAAATTAACATACATTATATAATTTAATACAGAAAAGCAACATATTCACTAATTAATTTCGTTAATAATATAAAATTGTATAACTCTCGAATATTTACAAAATTGTGTTAAAAAACGTTTATCTAAAATTACAGATACAATATCAAAAAATACGACTATGGTAGTATTCAGTCTTCAGTTAAGTAGAAAATGCTGTTTGGACCCACTTGATTATTTACTTATACAATCTCACTTTTCATTGGGCGGTTTTTGATATAAATACATAAAAAAAATCGATGTATTTTATTATCGAGTTATCATAAAAATGTTAGGGGAATTACAAATCGATTTAAGAAGCTCAGTACTAAAAAAAGTCGATATACAAAAAATATATAAAAATTTTACCATTGGGACATTTGAACTACTATGCAAAATAGTCTGTCCAGCGAAGGATTTTATGCAAACCTTAAGTTTGATTGAAGAAATAAAATGCTTAGATATTTATGAACAAGTAAAAAGCTCAAAGAATATAATATTTTCTTTGGTGTACATTTTCTTTCCTAAAAGTTCAGCTACTAGTGTTTAAAGCTGTATATTTAGCTCACTCTTTTATGTATAATTGTAGTAAAATTATGTGCTTCACAAATATTAAATTGGTAGGCACATAGGGATCTTTTTTAAATAAATTTGTAAAAAATCAATACTTCACAATATATAAATAGATGAAATAAACATATTTTCTACACTATATTATTGGCCTTAAATAGTGTCTATACCTATGTGTGGTCGGTTCATTTCTTGTAAAGACTGTGACAAAAATTCTGGAATTATTGACCTTGAATCGTCAACTTTTATGAAAGGGACTATACTAATAATAATAGAGTAAGATCCCAGAGCGATCAGACATAACTGATTTTCACAAGGATGAAACCTTAGGCTCTCATGTGCTTTGAATACCGGCGTAATACGAGAGAGAGACAAGATCGGCCGAGTACACAGTGTACACCTCCAAGCGCGCGCTATCCTCAAGTGTTTTGTTCAAGCAAAAAATCAACAGGTACGAGTCCAGAACGGGAATAAAGGTGAGTGCCCACAGTCCTGATACATTAACTCACCTTAATGAACTGAGCCCCTTAATTCTCGCCCGTAACAAAGACAGCTAATATAAAGTTATATTTAATCAGTCAGACAGATTGTAATGGCCAAAGATCCTCTAAACACAAAAATGATTTAGCCGTGACTATGAGCGCGGGAGTACAGTTTGACAAATATAGGAAGAGACTTGGGGATAGCACCGGTCGCGCACACGATAGAGAGTGAACGCATTCGGCGGAAGAGAGATGCAGTTACGCTGCGACAAATCTGATTAAAGCAAATTTGTGTGCTGTCCACTGCGCATCGAGGGACGTCTCTTACTTTATATTTCTCACGTCTCTAGCTATACTTGTTAAGTTGTACTATGCGTTTCCGAGTATTTAAATATTTTAAAAATACTTACTGCTTTCGATTTAATATTTTTGCATCCCTATTTAAATAAGATTAGTTGTAAAAGTGAAAACAATACATATTTATGGAGCCGATCGGCCGACTATTGGATTGCATGTGAGCGCGGATCCATTAGAATTATATTGGTTACAAATCTGCAACTAAATAGTCGGCCGACTAAGAATTGCATGTCACCCCCAGGCTTATTTTCCAATATTTCCTTTTACAGTATACAATCTATTTAAAAACGTAAATCACAGAATTCCCAGTGTCTTGTTTTTCAAATTAATATTTTTTTTAGAAAATATCCGATAATCGTTTTGAGTAGTTAATATACAATAAATTAATTTACTTTAATAATTATTAATTATTTAATTATTACTTTAATAAAAAAGCTCATCTTATTTAAATAGAAATGCAAAAATATTAAATCGAAAGCAGTAAGTACTTTTAAAATATTTAAAAAATTTACTCGAAAGCCATAGTTCTCCCGCGCTCATAGTCACGAGTAAATATTTTTTGTGTTTAGAGGATGTTTGGTCATTACAATCTGTCTGACTGATTAAATATCCCTTTATAATAGCTATCTTAATAACATATGTAAAAACCAAACATGTAAAAGTAAGTAAAGTTCATTTATTTGTTTTAGTTACCTTCCTCACCTGGTATCTGTCAAGGTGTCACAGGGCGAACCCCACAAACACGCGGGAGCACATTCAAAGCACATGAGAGCACTACTGAGAGCCTAAGGTTTCATCCTTGTGAAAATAAGTTATGTCTGATCGCTCTGGGATTTTGGACTATAAGGGTATATTTTCGAATCTATGTTAATAGAAAAATATTTTGTCTGGGATTATATTTACCTAATTTATTCTAAAAGACAGCAATAACTTAATATTTTTTGAAGTGAAACTTCTTTACGCGCGATGGGAGTAAAAATTCAAGGCCGTGACACACAAGACGGGAGAGGAAAAGTGGTAACGATCTTGGAGCGTCGCACAGTGCTTCGTCCCATGGACAAAAATCGAAAAAAAGTTAAAATTTACTAATATCTGAATATGTAATTTTATACTTATAACAATGTTCAACCTTCCTGTATATTATTTTTCATAAACAGCGTTTTTTGTTAGCAAATATTTTCACTAAAAATAAATTTTGCGATCATTATCTTATATCAGTGAAAAGAATAGCAATCATAGTAGTTCTGTATATGGAGTTAAACAGTACGTACTTAATTGAAAGCCACTATGGATCAAGGATACTATAGAGATAAGGATAGTTCGATTTCTATCTTCCTGCACTGTCAGTTTTTTTACGTCATCTACTGACCGAGTTGAAGTTGGCGCTAAAGATTTTAGACAGTGACAGCTATTTTTGCATTTGACGGACGAGCGCACAGTGAGTTGGAAGATAAATTTAGCGGGACAAAAGCGTTTGGTTAGAAATAAGCCAAAAAATGTGTACTGATAAGAATAAATAGTAGACATTCGAATTGATACAAAAATGCATGAATATTCTTTGTATTTCTATACATTTTTATCAACCAAATTTGGTCGTTTTCTGCTCAGCAAGGCAGAGATTATACAAAAACAAAATATTTACAAGTTCTTATACATTTTATTAGAAAGCCAAATTATGTTGAAGAATGCCAAAGGTATGTACTTTTCTACTGTACGTATATTATTTGTTAAAATTCTTCGTGCCTTTGTTCTGCAGATATCAAACTTTCACTTTTTTTTCAAATATCGATATATTGAATGATGTAGATCTTTTGAGTTACCAATAGTTACCAACACAGGTAGTCACAGTCACAGGGAGTTCAAGCTTAACAGGTGAATGCCCAAAAAGATTCATTTCAATCGGATAGCATAAAAACAAAACGACTCCATCAAAAGGCACTGAGTTTAAAAATTTGTCTTAGATACTTACTATATATGAATTTACAATTACCGAGTGTTAAAATTAAAATATCTATCTTATTTATTATTTTCAAAATAAAATATATTTTTTTAAAATAAATTATAGAGGGTGTCACAAGATTACAAATTAATTAAAAAAAAACTGACAAAGAGTTTTTGATATCACAATTTTATGTATTTGGCAATAGTTTACAATACGGTTTTTGTGTGTCATGTACGAATAATATTATAGTTTTATTATCTTGTATTTATTTATTAATAAACTAAGTTGTTAATAAATAAATAAATTTAACCATATAGTTGCTATATATTAGACCATTTGCTACGTTCTTAGATTTTAAGTCCCAAACATTGCTCTTGAGATTTTGTCCCGCTAGAATAACCATCCGCCACACTGTGGAGCGCTGGTCAGCGCGTGACGTAGCATTCCACGGCGACTACGACAGCGGCGATTTGACGCGATCGAATAGTCCTTTAGAATATATACAGTCCTTGACTATGGATATTGTTAAACAAGGTATACAAATTTGGAACATTTTGTCAGCAGTGATTCTTCTGAATCAGAGTAGTTACGATCTGTGCATTTTGTTGTCCTAAAGGAAATTTATAGTATCTTAAGTTTTTTTTTAATTAAATATAGCATTAATGTTTCTTTTTCATTAAAGAAAAACATTTTTATCTTATATTAGGCTTATATTGTAGGAATCATGTTCTATTGTTATTTCAATTCTTTTTTATCACAGGGATTTATTATATAAATTATTTCTTTAGATGGAACACAGGTCCAACATTTTTATTATTTTCAAGATTTTTTTTCATAAACGTGGGACTAAGAACATCTTCATTTAGTACAATGAGAGTACTCATCATTTGTGTCAAATAAACCTAGTTTGAATAAATTGCCTACAATAAAAGAGAAGTTTTGCATTTTTGTCCTCTAGAGCCACATGTTCGAAGCACTGTGCGACGTTTCGTTTACATCTTCATCAGGGTAGGACTAAGGATTTGATATTGAAGAAAAATGTGGGTCGATTGCGGCATAATTGGGGACGGGCTACAGGATGATGCCCTCGACGTTTCGAATCGATGCCTCTAAATGGACGAAATCATCAGGACTTTTCTCTCTTAATTATTGGCCAATTAGAACCAAACTAGGCACGCGGATAGAGGTACCCGAATGGAGTGCTGGAAGTAAGAGGAAGTTCCACTTCAAATATGCGCACATAGTGCCCACACAATTTTTTTTATTCATTTTGATATTGTAGCACTGGTCATAATATAATAACAAAATTGCCAAAAACAACAATAAATATATTTATAATTTTTTTAAAAATGGCACTTAAAAAAGGCTTCTACTCGCCGATATATAAACTTATTTGGTTAACCACTCACCATTACATCAAAGAGATGCTATATTTTTAGCTTTTTAGCTTCCTTTACCTCAAGGAAAGTCAAAATATGTATAAAATTAAAAACACGTAAATTAAACCTATGAATCGTTCATGTTTTGTGTAGAATCCTCTTGGCCGCTCTGATCAAAGGAGTTAAACTTCGTAATTCCATTCGTTCTTGAAGAAATTCGTGTTCCAGAAGTTCGTCGGCTGTTGCTCTTTGGTCTACGTCCACTTGCAAACAGGCGTCGATGAAGCTTTTTAGTTTGGGGGAACAGTTGTCCCATCTGGGTATGTTTGGTCTGCCGTTTGCTGAAATAACAGATTTATTTATTTATTTATCACCCTTTTCTGTTCTTATCTACTGTACTATACATCAAAATTTTAAGGTGCAGATTTTTCATGCCGGTTTTAAGTTGGGTAAAACTGTTGGTTACTGTTGGGTAGTATAATCTTTACTATTTTATTAGTTTACTTAAAAATTTCGTCTATGTTAAAAAATCTTACCTGTTATTAAATATAATGCTCGTATAGGGGGCTCCTTTAAATATGGCGGCTCTCCTTCCAGCATTTCCACAATCATGATACCCAAGCTCCAAATATCCACCTTCTTTCCGTATTTCTGCCTGGTTACCACTTCGGGTGCCATCCAATATGGCGTGCCAACCATAGTTTCCCTATACATACAATAATCATGAAAATTCGCGATTTTCGTCATGTTTCGTTTACCGACGTTTAGTTTATAAAAATTGCTGTTATTTGCTAATTAAAAGGTATAGAATAAGAAAATATAGGTCATTGTAGTCTTTCAAGAACAGCAATTATTGATGTAGAAAACGTTTTAAACTTTAATCAAAAATAGCTGAAAAGCAAGCGTCCAAAAAATAATTCTCTCACAAAGCCAAGGTATCTGAGCCCTCAAAGGTGTAGATATTCGGAATCTACATAAAATTTCCTACAAATGCTGAAGTTTTCAGAATTTTATGACTATGTTTCAGAACAGCAATTGATGTAGAGAACGTTTTAAACTTTAATCAAAAATAGCTGAAAAGCAAGCGTCCAAAAAATAATTCTCTCACAAAGCCAAGGTATCTGAGCCCTCAAAGGTGTAGCTATTCGGAATCTACATAAAATTTCCTACAAATGCTGAAATTTTCAGAATTTTATGACGTATGTTTCAGAACTGCAATTGATGTAGAGAACGTTTTAAACTTTAATCAAAAATAGCTGAAAACAAGGGTCTAAAACATTAATTTTTTCACAAAACCAAGGTACCTGAACCCTTAAAGGTGTATATGTATATTCTGAATCTACATAAAATTTCCTACAAATGCTGAAATTTTCAGAATTTTATGACGTATGTTTCAGAACTGCAATTGATGTAGAGAACGTTTTAAACTTTAATCAAAAATAGCTGAAAAGCAAGCGTCCAAAAAATAATTCTCTCACAAAGCCAAGGTATCTGAGCCCTCAAAGGTATAGATGTTCGGAATCTACATAAAATTTTCTACAAATGCTGAAATTTTCAGAATTTTATGACTATGTTTCAGAACAGCAATTGATGTAGAGAACGTTTTAAACTTTAATCAAAAATAGCTGAAAGGCAAGCGTCCAAAAAAATTATTCTCTCACAAAGCCAAGGTATCTGAGCCCTCAAAGGTGTAGATAATCGGAATCTACATAAAATTTCCTACAAATGTTGAAATTTTCAGAATTTTATGACTATGTTTCAGAACAGCAATTGATGTAGAGAACGTTTTAAACTTTAATCAAAAATAGCTGAAAACAAGGGTCTAAAACATTAATTTTTTCACAAAACCAAGGTACCTGAACCCTTAAAGGTGTATATGTATATTCTGAATCTACATAAAATTTCCTACAAATGCTGAAATTTTCACAATTTTATGACTATGTTTACTATGTGTTTAAAAATGAGTAAAAAAGCCAACAATGGGCATTTTTCAATTTTTTTTTATACGATTTGCGTCATGTCACCGATTTTATTAAAACTGCTGTTATTTACTAATTAAATGGCTTAGAAAAAGAAAGTATATGCTATTATAGTCTTATGAGAATAGTAATGGATGTAGGGGACGTTTAAACCTTCATCAAAATTAGCTAAAAAACTGGGGTCCAAAAAATGAATTTTCTCACAAAGCCAAGATACCCAAGCCTTCAATGGTACATATATTTTGAATCTACATATAATTTCCTACAAATGCTGAAATTTTCATAATTTATGTCTATTTCTACTATGCTTCTCAGGCATTTGAAAATGTGTAAAAATTAGCCAAAATGGACATTTTTTCAACTTTTTCCCGACGAAACGGCATTCAAAAAAATGACGCAAAAAACAATTTACCTCTAAATTAAAATGACTGACACAACTGTAGTATAATAAATTTATTAATAACATCTTAAAACACCAACTTACCTCTGTTCATTCCCAATAACATTTGCACAAAACCCAAAATCAGTAACTTTCACTGTTCCATCCATACCAAGCAGCACATTGTCAGATTTTATGTCCCTGTGAATCGTTCCTCGATTATGCAAGTAACTGACGGCTTGTAAAACCTACAGAATACAGTATTAGTTAATTTTTCTCAATAATTTCCTTCAAAACATCTACATACTTCATAACAAACAGCAGCAATCTGACCTTCCTTCATGATAGTTTCCGTCACCACGTCAGTCAAAGGACCACCGTCCAGTAATTCCATCACAACCCATAGATGATCATAATCGATGACAAATGCATCCAGAAAGTTAACTAAAATAAAATGAATTAAAAAATAACATAAATTCAACGTTAATTTGTGTAAATACCTAAATTTTTATGCCTAAAATTTTTCATAATTTTGATTTCACTCAGCAGCAGCTCTTTTTTACTTTGTTTTGTCATATCAATATCCTTTATCGCAACTAGTTCTCCTGTTGCTTTATCTGTTGCTGCAAAAACCATTCCCGATGCTCCTGATCCTAAAATAGAAGAAAAATTGTTTGCTTTGTTTTAAATTTACTGGTATAGAAATATACAGGGTGACCCATTGGTGCAAAGAAGTTCATATGCAACCATACAATACTTATACATACATATTTTTATTCATTACTTTGAATAGTTTGAATATACCTACCTACATACCATTAAACAATTAATTACCTACTAAATTATAGTTATTTTTATTAGATACATACCTAAATCCTTTAATGTCCTTTCATAATAATCATACGGATTACCGGGATTACATATTTTCTTAATTTCACTCATATACTCTTCATCCGTAATACCAAACTTTCTTTCATCTAAACTCGGACGTCTATACTCTATCTCATCAGCCTCTATAGTTAAATTATCTATGGTCTGCGCCAATTTCTTTGTTTGAACAAGATTATTATCTTCTATTTCCACTGGGTCTATTGAAGGTAAGGACGTACCATTATCGCATTCAACTGATTTACTAGAATCATCCGACAAATTTGAATCTTTACTTTTGTGAGCGTCTTTCGATTGCATGTATAGATCCATCTGTTTTGATTCCTCGTCAATATCTTTCTGAGTATATATGTGTTTAATGTCAGGTGTGGGGCCTGCATGTTTCTTAACCGAATAGTTATAATACTGTAAAACCTTCTTGACAACTTCGGGATTTTCATGTTGTTCAGCCTTTGTTATTTGGGTGCCAATTTGTCTGACCCAGGACGAAGGTAGGCCCTCCAAAATGCCATCAGATGTTACGGTAACGTGAATATCGTGATTCACATTGGTTGGGTTGCCTGAAAGTAAATAATTTGGTGACAATTCACATTAAGGTTTAAGTATGGATTTATGGCAGTTTTAAGTAAATCTTATCAGTAATAACCCTAGTACTATAAAAAATGCAATGACAGTATCAAATATTACATTTTCCAAACAATTACAGCACTAATAATAATTCATACTTACCGATAATTGCTGCTGTTGTCTCCTCCCTTGGTTTTTTTCTTTTAAACATGTTATAAAAGCTCATCTTGAAAATCTATTCTAGTGATACTATCAATTTAATAATTATGTGATATATCATCGACTTTCAAACAGTGACTATTCGCTAAAAATATGTGGTATATATTCACTACATAATGAGATATGGGCATTTAAAAATTGTTTTATTTATAAAAGAAAAAAAAACTCGAAAAACACACACACCCTCTTACTTAAAGTGACAAATGACGTGATGTGTCAAAGCAATTTCCATATTTTGTGAATCATAGGACGGCCTTGGTTGTAATTTTCGTTAGAGCTGGGCAATTTCGATAATAAAAATTAGTTAAAATTGAATTAATTACAACCACCACAATTTTAATTTTACACATGAACTGACCGCAATCTTCATATTCAAGCCAACTTTGATGCCGTTATTTTTTGATCATTTTGTATGAGCGACTTCTAGTTGCTTCTTTATTTTATTTATACATATTTAAATATGTATTGCTTTGAACAATAAAAATACAGTTGGTATAATAGTTTCAAACCTATTCTTAATCTAAGTTTGAAACTTAAAATTAGAAGCTGTCTTAAATGATGCCATGAGTTTTTATTATCAATTTTTAACATAAAAAAATATTACATTTTTGTCAGAGAAAATAAGCTGTCCTAGCAATTTAAGTTTTTATTTTTCAAAGCAATAAAGTATTTAAGCGTAAATACTTATTTTTAAGTCTGTTTTGGTATTTTATGATATTTTTTAATGTCATTGTGAAAGTGTTGAGAGTTTTTTTGAAATTATAAGGCAAAAACATTAAATTAAAACGATTAAAATTTTTGGCGCATTCACCATTTTGTCAAGATTATTACGAAATTTTAATAAAGGGTAAATATGTTGGAAATCGTTTATTTAAACAGTTAGTATGTTGTATAATAAGAAGAATCTCCGTAGACGCTGTATATTTCATTTAAATAGAACTCCCATCCGGTTTGTTTTGGATTGGTTCCCATCGAGAGCGTGCTGTTAATGTCCAAATAATTTACAGCGGATGAGGTGTTTGTTTCTGAGTTATTTGGTGTCCAAGTGATGTTCTGAAGAACGTTCAGGGGATCAGACGATGTGGGATCGCTAAAATATATATTAAAAAGACAAAAATTAGTTTTTGTGATAGCGCTACTTAAATGAAAACGTTAACAATCAATTATCATTATAATTAGAAAACATTTAGGACTGTTTTTGAATAAGCGTTTGTTAGAAACATTTTTTAATTTATTTTTTGTTTTAAAAACTTACCCAGTTTTGGCAAAGTTTGTCCAGAGAGTTATTATTCTTTGCCTTGTAAGTTGATCTTCATCGGTAGCATATTCATCGTTTGAAGTGACGAATATATAGTTTACGTCTTCAGCGTGCGCAACGCCTATAATAAAAATATACAGGGTGACGCACCTCATTCGCCTCGGTTAATTATACGAAAACGGAAAGACGCAGAAACAAATTTTTTTATGGGTATATGTAGAGAGACAATGTGCATAATTTAAAATTATTTTAAAATGTACAGGGTGTGTCAGAACTAAGATCCATACCAAAAGTTATATTTTTTCTTATAGAACACCCGGTATTTTATTTCATTTTTTGATTCTTGGGCATAAAATAAGGCATTTATTATAAGGGTTTAATATGTTTAAATGCTTTGGTTTTTGATATATTTAAAGATATTTAAATATGCATGCTATAATAAAAAAAATTGTCGACACCCTGTACGTTACTTCTCAAAGTCAATTCTTGTGCTGCCTTTGAAGCCAGAGAAATAAACTTTACCAAAAAAATGTATTGCTTTCTTAAATGTATACAGGGGTATCAAAAATTGCTGGTTTATTTTAAATATTTATTACATATAAAAAAACTTTGTTATTTCAAATACAACAATATGTATTTTTTTTAAATAACTCGAAGCAGATTTAAATGCTCTTTCAAACATCTTTCCGTTTTCGTATAATCAACCGAGGCGAATGAGGTGCGCCACCCTGTATAATCATAGGTAAATTGAATCTCTATACGGGGTGATTCTCCGAGTAAAACATTTCTGTCGACTTAGCGAAAAACAACAACATACCTGCGTCAGTCCTATTTGGACTACCCAAGTTACCCGCATACGAGAATTCGTAATAATAAACATCGTTATGCTGGGACATAAGGTCGACAGTTTCTCGAATTGGTCTATCAAACTGATCCACTGTTGCAAACTAAAATAAACGTCTAATTAATTTAAACAAAGCACATTTAATAGCAGAAATCAAGTAATTTACGTTAGCTATGGCTTCTGATTGGACAGCAATGGGGAGAATGCCGAAAAAATAATTTCTTACGATGGTCCCTGCTGACGTTCTATACAAGAAGCTAGAAGTCAGGTCGTAGGGGGCCAGTCTCCAAAGTTCTACTTCGAATTGGCTGGCAATTATATTGACTAAAACTAAAGAAATATCTTTGTAGAATATAGAATGAGTGGGGGTTATAGTGACCGCGACATTAAAGATCTTTTGTGTTCCTCTTTCTTGAGTTATAACTCATAATACATGGGGATTTACCTGTTGTATAAGGGAATAAGTTATTTCCTATCCTCCTCTGACAACAATATGTTCCTCTACCGGGTGCGTCTCAAAAGTGGCTCACCCCTATAACTTCTTTATTTTTTTAGTTAAAAAAAACGAGATTTGGTATGTTAGTATATGACATAAATTAGGATTGATTGACGTATTCAATCGAGACAGCGACGCGTTGTTGCGCGCCGTTTTAACAAAATAAAGTTTTAAACCTCCCGTCATTTCGTTAATAATTATCGTATCGTGTTGATTTTTTAATTAAAAATTAGTGAAACAAACAGGTTAGTTGTTAGATTTCTTTCTGGTGTATGTGAAGTGAAGAAAAGCGTTTAACTAGTACTTGTGGACAATTTCGTCAAATAAACCGCCGGACATAATTATCGGGACAAGCAAAATTTTAGGGTAAATTTAAAGTTGAATATCTCTTGAACTAAAAAAGATTTTTGGATGCGGTTTGGACCAGCTCTTAGATGCATATATTGTGATTAAGATGCTACGTGGTTTTCGAAAATATATTCAGTGAATTCTCGTATACAGGGTGTTTTATAAGAGTGTGAAAATTTGGTTAAGAATCTTTTTTAACGCAAATTTACAATTTTTAAAAAATCAAAATCGACTTTATTTAATATTAAATATATTTTTTGAACATTCTGTATACATCGGTCCAAATTTCTGTACAGCTAGTTTAAGATACACGCTATAACAATACATTATGGGCCTATGTAAAATGTACAATGCCTTTTGCACCATTTAGGACCAAATGTATTACTGTTGTTTAGTCCCGCAATTTTGCGGATCCGCGGGATTGATTGCTTTAATCCCGCGGGTTTGCGGGATTGAGATTTTGGTGCGGGATTGCATTCCCTGTTCATGAGTCTTTAGCGCTTCCGACAAGCCTAAATAACTGGATTATTTTTTATATTTTCGATTTGTTTACATTGCCCGAGTATATTATAACTTTGAGATAAAAATCTCTGTTATAAATTTTAAAACTGATAAATATGAATACTATCATTTAATTAGTTATACATTTAGTTACAACATATTCAAAATTTAGGTCTATCGGTTTATGCTAGCAGTAATAACGAGTATAAATTAAAAAAAAAATGGTCAGTACAACGCTCGTTTTTAGCGCACGTTCAGCTTTGGTTTAAGTTTTAGCGCTATTTTTACAGAAAATAAATTCTAAACTTTGATCAAATGACAAGAACATTATCATTGCCGATATCTCCTGGTTATAATGTAGTTCTTTTTTCAAAATATTGCATTGTTTTAGCTTAAAAAAACTTGAATTATGCGGCTTTTTTGCGAGAACTACCGGCGCTGCGTTAATAAAGAGATATGGCTATGTACGTCAATCGAAAGACAGTATTTGCGATAGACTTTTGTTTACACGGAGTATAGAAAATTTTATAGACAATCCAGTTATTTAGGCTTGTCGGAAGCTCTAAAGACTCATGAGTATTTCTATGCAAAAATCAGCACGATACGATCATTATTAACGAAATGACGGCAGTTTTAAAATTATTTATTTTGTTAAATCGGCGCGCAGCAAAGCGTCGATGTCTCGCTTGCCTACTGGGCAAGCCAAGTTGTGCAATCCAGACGCTCAATTGTTTTCGGTCACTTCCTGTTTCACCGGAAATGACTACAACTTTTGATTTTTAAATGTCAGCCTCGGTATTTTTTTACTTTATTCGATAGAAAATAGCACTCTGGATAGAATGACATATCATATGTCAACTTTTGACATTTTCGCATATGGTTTATTTAAAATTATAACTTGAGGTTCCTAACGAAAATTTGACTCGAAATACCAAGTGTGTGGTATCAAATTGTTCGTAAAAAAATGCTTTTTCCAAATATGCTAACGAGTCGCCCTCGTTCCATTTGAAAAAATTGAGAAATGATTAAGAATACGATTTGAGCATTTTCTAACTGGCCAGAACAAGACACTAAAAACATTAGACGGTCAAATCTATTTTTTCAAGGCTCCTTGATTAAGAATTAGTGTTTTTAATATAGCCATAGCACTCTAGATTGAAATTTAAAATACGATTTCTTATTAAGTGAGAATGAATTCTTCATACTGAATTTTATTCAGAATGTAATTTTTTTTGCGCTTCCGTCATACACCTACACCCTTTCACGGTTGGGGTTTAGTCCTTGGAGTCGTGCCTTTCACAGTCCAGGAGCTTATCTCTCTCCAGATCTTTTATCAAGAAATTTTTATCTACTGTTATGAAAATTATTCTTACATGTATTGGTTATGTTTTCCATTTCGAAAGAATTGAATCCGACTATAACAGGTACCGTGTTGTAATCTCCATTTAAGAGTTTTTCGTAAGATCTGCCAGTTACAATAGCTCCATCAATGTCCGGTTCGATAACGACAGCGAATGGAAGGCCAGCTACAATACCTCCCGCTGCCTCAATCTGTGAAAATATAAGAACATTAAGGGTGTATTCCCTGTTGCTTACCTTGGTTATGGTTTTATGTTCCGTTTCTATCGGTTTCCTGACAGTTTTCTTATTACGGAACACGGTTCCTAAAAAATCAGTTATAACAGTCACCAAACTAACCAGCGCTAGAAGGCTGTTTTTTCTGGTTTTGTTTGTCAATCAATGTAATTTATGTGACAGAAATCAAGCAAGTATTGGAAGTTCGAGCGAAATTCTCATTTAATTTCTAAAATTTGTAATAATATTTTGTATTTACATCTAAAAGCAATGGAGGTAGGCAGTAAAGGTAAATAATTTTCATTAACTAAATAGAATTACTTTTTAGGACCATTTAAACTTATCATGCAGCTATTGTTTCTTAAAGTCAGGAATATTTAAAGAAAACATGAAAAACAAGACAACAAGTAATCGTGAATGTTTTCTAAGCTATAAAAATATAAATATAGATTAGATTTCTTTATTTATTATTGATCTGTTTTACTATTGGACCTGCAAATCTTCACTTGAGCTGTCTAACGAGTTTAGCAGTTTATTAATAAAGTACTTTTCAATATTAAACTCCATTGAAAAGAAGAAGCAAACGTAAAAGCAGAGAATAGGTACATTTTTCTTCTTCTTCTTCTTTGTCTGCTTATCCATTAATGGATGTTTGCGACCACATTTTCCATGGCTTCCCTATCTCTGGCTGTGTGGATCAAAGTCTGTATGTTACTAATGCCTGTCCACTGTCTTATGCTCCGCAGCCACGACATTTTTTTCCGTCTCAAACCTCTTCTGCCCTCGATCTTGCCCTCGATAATCAACTGGAGAAATGTGTATTTATGGTTTGGTATAATACATAAACGGTCAATGTTAGATATAGAGTGTTTAATATCAAAATTCATAAAATTTTACAGAGAATTTAAGTATGCAATAAAAAATGAGGGCACCCGTTTAAAATAAGAAAGTTGCTGTCAACTTTCGGTATTTTCGAAAGTGGCCCAATATTGAAAATATTTTTAATCGATAGATCTCGTTGTGAAACTATGATGTGCAAAAAATGTCCGAACTAGATGTTGTAGTTCTCTAACAAATTCTAATGCACGCTCAGCCTGGGACACCCTGTATACTTTTTTTGTGGCATAAACGCATTGCCTGGAAACTTATATGGTGAAATTTTGATAAAATAATTTAGTACTCACTAAAAACACGGTATGTCGCTAGTGGTGGGAAAATAATTTTCAGAGGTTACTAGTTTATTTGGTTGCCTGTGACAGTGCCTTCTATTAAAAGATCAGCCTGCGGGCGAGATTTATGACGTCACGCTAGTTAGATATAACGGATTAATAAATATGTTGTAGAATACATGGAAAACATAATTATTCCTCAGATTTTTGGTTTGTATTTTAAAAATGATATAGTTTAAATGAAATATACATAATATACAGTTAATAACTACAACATATATACCTATTTATAGTAATAAATACTTTGGCAAATAAACTATGAACCATACAAATGCAGCAAATCTTTTTACAATGTACAAATAATGTATAGGTACATAAGATAATGGGTAAAATGTAAATATATTTTAAATTTTGGGGTTTGAAAATCGATCTAATTTAACAAAAACATTTAATATCTACTAATAGTGATGTATTATTATTTGCATTCACAAAATTTATATGTATATTTTGCAAGTATCAATGTTCGAAAAATTATATTTACAAATAATACAATATTATCTAAAAAGGCGTCAGCGATGGCTATGAAATGAAGATCGCTGGCATTTTATATGTTAAATTATTCTAAAATTTTTGATTTTCTTGGGATTTTTAGGTTCGGGAAAAACGCTGATTAAGTTTTCATTTGGGTTTTCATTATTTTTATTTGGTTAAAAAAAAACGTTTCGGCTAACTATAGCCTTCACAGTGTTGTGTCATATGAGAAAAATAGTGTCGAATATAATCCAAAAAATTACATATACAATATAATTCACACCTCATAATGTTTACTGCAATTAATAAACTAATATAAACTTATCAAAAGATGACCACATATTTTTAAAATTATTATTCTTAACACTAAAATTATCTACATTGACTATGGAGTACGCAGTAAACATTATGTGCGTGGTGTGAATATTTTATATGCAATTTTTGGATTATATTCGACACTATTTTTTCATATGACACAACACTGATGGAGGCTATAATGTTAGCCGAACCGTTTTTTTTAAACCAAATAAAAATAATGAAAAACCAAATGAAAAATCAATCAGCGTTTTCCCGAACCTAAATTCCAAGAAAATCAAAAAAATTTAGAATATTTAGAATCAAGGTTCAAGAATATCAAATTTTTCAAGATTGTAAAATTCTAGTTAATTATTTTATGTGTACAGTTATTTAGGGAATGTCATCGATGTTCATTTCAAGCCAACTAGACGCCGATTTTTTCGATGATACGGTATAATTCTTACGTAAAATGTAAATAACATTAGACCAATTAAAACAAAGAAATATGAATTTCTTAGTATTTTTAGTAATACCTTTATTCTTAAAACTTAATTTTGTATTATGCAAATATACCAATTTTATTGTTATTTTATTCATATTGTATTCAGCCATCACTTAAATATTTGATATTAATTTGGTATTATAAATAATCAATACTATTCATTAAAAATTACGGAACAAATATATGTTATGCTTAACATACATTATATATTATCAAACAAAAACACATTCTTCTTTTAAACTGTATCAGTCTTGTCTTTACAAAAATCTTTTTTCAAATTTGAACTCAAAATAATAATCTTTTTCATGATCTCTAATACACATATTCTTTATTTTTCCCTAGTTCATAATACCTACTTACGTGTTTGAATCTATCGAAGCTGAACCAGCAACACTTGGAGTGGAGATTCCACAATATGAATAAAATAAACATAATTGTCCAGTTTTCATTAATACCATCATGGGAGAATATTATTTTTAAATTTATTAAAGATATTTTCAATAAAATTCTCTTGATTTATAACTCGTACCCACTTTTCTTGCTCTTCCGGACACTTTAGGCTGCCTAGTATAATAACTATCCTTTCCACCAGGAGCACAACAAAGATGAGGCATAGCACCAATAACACACTCCACTTAAGCTTTATTGATGAATTGTTAGAGTCTTAAAAAACACACACAAAAATCAAGATAAATAAAAAATTTATGGGCACTTTTAGGTTAAATCACTTGCACAACGTGTAATTTTTAAAATTTCTATTTTTTATGCGAAACCGAGAGTGACCATATATCTGGTAGTAGTTTATGTCACTTCAACACCAAAATAATTAGTTTTTTGCACTACAATAATAAATAATACCAAAAATCAAAGAGTTAAAACCAAAAATCAACCGACAAAATATGAAACGGAATCTAACCCAATATCTAAGTATGTACAGCTGATGAAGTAAACAAAAGTCCGCCCGTAGGCTGATCTTTTAATAGAAGGCACTGCCTGTGATATGAATATACAGGGTGTTTCCTAATTAATCTAAAAAATAAAAAATCGTTAGAAAACGGGTTAAGGCGGACTCTTAATAAGTATATTTATTTTTTTCTCGCCAACCGTTTGATGAACAAGAAAAACTCAAAAGATCAATTTTGTTGAAAAAGGATGGCCAGTTAAGAAAAAAATATATTTTCTTTAAAAAAGCAGTAGTGTACCATTTATGTTAAGCAAAATATCGATTTTTTTTTAATTTTTAACACCCTGTAGATCAGAAAGGAAGTACTTGAGACCCAATGGTTATATAAAAATTATTTTAAGAACACATGAGGAATCACACCACAATTTTTTAGACTAATTAGAAAACACCCTGTATATTGTCAACTTGACAATGATTGTTGATAAATCAAAACATACCTTTTCTGTGAAAAACGCCCGATTTTTGCAGGAAAAATTTTGGTTTTTATTGAATTTGGGTCTGCGTCTGCAAATACCGGTATGTTTTTTAATATTCTATCTATCTAAATTTTAAATATCATAGTCAGAAATAGTTTTATTATTTATTAACTGTAAAAATGGTATACTTATAAGTTTTATAAAATATTGTGATTTACTTTCTACCTTGTAGTCAAAATTTATATTTAATAAACTGTAAAATATATATATTCTTATGTTTTATTAAAGTTACTCTGATATACTAATATATCAGTGTAACTTTAAAACTAAATCCTTTGAAATCAAATATAAACAAAAAATATTTACAGCAGAAAAGGCGAAGGCGCTGGGTTAAACGTAGTCTCCACTAAAAACACGGAGGGGCGCTTTGACCCAAAATTTTACTATTAAGTTTCATATCTATCTTAATAGAAGATTATTTTCTTTTATCTATGCATAAACGGTAGTGTCTTTTTTATGTCAACTTAAAATTCTGATTTTTTTATAGCTTCAAGGGAATGTAGACCTCACTGAATTACACGTTGGTAGACCTGAGTATACGGTTTTTTAATTTCAACTCAATATCGCGATAAATAGCAACTCAATATCTCGATCCTAAAAGGGTTACGATTTTTCCTTTTGAGGTACGGAACTCTAAAAACGAGTGAAGATTTTTTTATAAATAAATTTTACTCACCAATGTCGTTAGTGTATTTTCAGCGGATTTTAGTTCTTTGTAGTCAACTTCGCGAAGCTGTTCCACTAAGTAAGTGGAATTGTCAGTAATGATGCCCAACGATGTTCCTAATTTAAAAGCCTTAACGCTTGCGTTTCGAGCTAAGGTCCAAAGGCACAACACAGTGCCGCTCTGCATGATCGCATTCTGATACAAATCTAAAATGAGAAGTTATTAATAAATAAGAGAAGACCTTTATTATTAAAGGAAGATATATAGAGAGAAATTAAAATTATTAATTATTATAAAAATACATTTCTAATAGTATTTATAAATCATGTAAAATTGAAGGAATAATAAAAGAAGAAACTACGATCGAGCTGATTTGTGAGTTGTGTAGGATATAGCCTGAATTGTGTGGATCGTAGATTTTAATTACATTCCATTTTTCCAACTTCCAGCCGATGATACCAATAACCTACAGCTTTGAGCGATACCTCACTGTAGTATTGAGCAACAGAAATGTTTGTCAGTAGTTACGGTGATTACCCCGCCTTCTATACATTCTACATTCTACTTTCTACAGTCTACCTTCTACATTCTATATTCTACAGTCTACTCTCTACACTCTACACTCTACATTCCACACTCTGCACTCTATATTCTACACTCTACACTATACACTCTACAGTCTACATTCCACACTTTACATTATACACTCTACATTCTACACTCTACTTTCTACACTCCACACTCTACACTCTACATTCCACACTCTACACTCTATATTCTACACTCTACACTATACACTCTACATTCTACACCCTACATTCTACGCCCTACACTCTACACTCTAATTCTACATTCTACACTATACACTCTATGTTCTACACTCTAATTCTACGCTCTACATTCTACACTCTACATTCTACGCCCTACACTCTACACTCTACATCCTACATCATTGTGGAGAGTGATAATTTAATAATTATTTTGCTGATCTGATTTTCTATTCAGGATAAAACTCTCGATTTGATAATTATTTTTTAAATCACTTTGAGTATGCCCCCTCCAAACAGTTCATCAATCAGAAAGCAAGGGATGGCAAGTAAAATGGATAAAAAATCGAGATTTTTAATGAAAATAATATCAAATTATTAAGTAATCAGTCATGGAAAATTAACATGAACACAAGTAAAGAAAAAAGTATAGGAAACTTAAATTTGACATCAAGCAACACAATATACTTAACAGAATTTCAAAAAAATATTAAATAATAACTTGCCAATTATTGTTGGTCAATTATTGAAAAAATAAATGCTACTTACCACTTGTATTGCTATTAGTTAATATGTAAGAAACAGATGCAGCACCAGCACTCTCTCCGAAAATTGTTACTTTATCTGGATCCCCTCCGAAATATTCGATATTATTTTGCACCCATTTGAGTGCCAGTATTTGATCTTTTATTCCTAAGTTGCCAGGAAGAGCCGTATCTTCAGTACTAAGTAACATAAATTGTAAGTAAGTTTAATACATATATTACTTTAGAAAAAACAATATATAGAATAACTAAAATAAAGAGCGAAGAATTCTTAACTTTATTTTATAGTACAAGTTCTCCCAAATTAGAGAATGATCATTGGGATCTTGGAAATTATAAGAGATAAAAAGAAAGTCAAAAATTATTTTTTGACTTCCTTCTTAACTTTCCTACTGCAAAGTTAAGAAATAGGTATTTATGTAACAAGTTGCAAAAAATGTGGTTTAAGCACGGGACGCAAAATTGTCGAATTCTTAAAACACTCTTTTCGCAACGAATTTCAAAGAAGATTTTTTAAGAAAGCGGATAATTTGAGATTTTCATACTATTATTATTATTTATTTTTAAACATTTTTTAAAATGTTCTGGTAATCGGTTTCTAAGGCATTGTTTATAGAGTGTCTAGCCCTAGCAGTCAACTATTAAGCTTGACCAATCAGGTTGGTTAGCGTGGTCATTTGAAGGGTAATTCATTTGTGTTTGTCAAAAACTCTAACGTGATTGGTCGGGCTTAATAGTTGCCTGCTAGGGCTAGACACAAGTATTGTTTATGCATTGTTTAATGACAAATTTTTTTTTTGATTTTTTTTAATGACAAATTTTATTTTTCTGTACAGGTTCAAACGTCGCCGTATTTCCTACAAAGTTTTGTGAAAAAATGAGTGATAATGACGAGTCTTTGGATATTCAACAAGCTGCTGAAACTGCGCTATCCACGTTGGTGCCCGAGAAGTCGAACAACTTATGCGAGACCACCTACAACAACTTAGCTGGGTCAAAGAAAAGCATGTTGAGAATTTCACAGAAAAGGCATTGCTAGCCTATTTCCTGAAGTTATCCACTACCTTAAAGCCGTCAACTCTGTGGAGTAAATATTCGATGCTCCGCACCATGATTTACCTGAACAGAAACGTAGATATTAGCAAATTCACAAACCTTATTGCATTTTTAAAAATAAAAGCTTCCGGATATGAGGCAAAGAAATCAAAAGTATTTACAAAACTGGAAATAGAACGCTTTATGAAAGAAGCCGATGACAAAGAATTCCTGTTAGCTAAAGTTGTCTTAATCGTTGGAGTATTTGCATGGGCGCCGGACAGGGGTGGCAAGAGGGGGTATTTGCCCCCCCCCTCCTGGATTACTGAAACAATAAAAATAAAAGCTATCTTCTTACATCCGTCTGTAACAAAATAATCATTATTATAAAATTGTTAGGTGTTACCTGTAAAATAATAAAAAAATGTAGTAATTATTGGGAAAACTGGAAATCGTCCGATTTTCACCAAAACTGGTATACACACTATTTTGAGGTCGTAGATTACGAAACTTTTTTTTTCTTGGCGGTCTCTTACCGTTTTTCAGAAAAAACGGAAAATTATTTCAACATTGAATTTTTCTTTATTTCGGCCCTATAAAGTAATAATTTCACTATAGTTTCATTATATTATAGTTTATCTAAAAGCCACACTTGATTGGGGATAGAAAAGTGTCCAACATTTTACTGAAAAAACACTTTTCTTAACAAAATAGCAAAGAAAATTGAGACCAGATGGAAGTTTGATATTTGATATATCCTTCTTTCTCTCTCCTATGTAATAAGAGAGACAAATATATTCTAGACCTAATCTAGAAATTTGAACATTTACAACGTTGCCATATCTTCTATTTTTTCGGGTGATTAGGGATTTTAAATAAATTACCTATTATGAGATCGACAATAATTAAATATATACCTATATCGACAAAATTACGCGGAAGAGTTTTGATTGCATTGGTTTTAACTTCTTTGCGGAGGGGGTTAATCTTTTTTTAGTTAATCTAATAATATAACAACAAAAGATTAACACCCTCTGCATGGAAGTTGTAACCAATGCAATCAAAACTCTTTCGTGCAACTTCGTGGGTATAAATAGTCAGATCTCGTTGGTAAAATAGCAGTTATGGGAAGGAGCCGTTCTTCTGGCGACCGCCTTTCGTAATTCCAGAATGAGCGAAAAAAACACGCTAAATTTAGGTTTAGCATTGGCAACGTTGCTTTAAATGCCAGAAACACATAAGCTTACTTCGGGTTTCTCTTATTACCGATTCTGAACCGTCCTAGAGCTGTGATGCGTATGCGCAGAAGGAAATATGAAGACACTATTTCATTTGCGCATGCGCTGCAGAGTTCTTGGACGGTTCAGAATCGGTAATAACAAGAACCCGAACAAAGCTGTAACCTAACATTTTCAGATTGTTTACAAATTTATTTTTGCAAATTTTCCTCTATTATGCATTGTATTGTATTTTACTAAGAGTGAGTCCCAGGTGGGACCCTCCACTGACGCCTCGAGGGCCTATTGTGGCTCAGTTTCTACAAGCTCTTTAATAGAAAAAGAGCATTAAAGTTCGCCCTCAAGATTATGCATAGAATTGGTTAAAAAAGTAACAGAAAATAGCAAAAACATTATTGATTATTGAATACCTAACAAAATATGTGCTAGAAAACCTTAAAAATATGAGAATTAAGAAAAAATCGATATTGAAATTATTTTCCGTTTCTCTGAAAAACGGTAAGAGACCGCCAAGAACAAAGTTCAGATTCGTAATCTACGACTTCAAAATAGGGTGTATACCAATTTTGGTGAAAATCGGACGATTTCCAGTTTTCCCAATAATTTATTTTTAATAATTAATATCAATTTTTTATTCATTTTTACCTTTGAATAAGAAGACTAAGGAAGGAGCATAATGCTATCCATATGCTATCCATGTATTCATGCATGGTGGGCGGAAAAGCCACCATAAAAGCTCTCTAGGGTGGGGATCCTTGACAGTTCTGTTTGACGATTCATTTGACACATTTGAATTTGATTTGAAATTTTGTGGATTTGTCAGTCTTTACGGAGCTTATTTTATGTTATTTATTATTTATTCTACTACTGATAGTTGTATAAAGGTAGTAAATCTAGATGGAAATTGTGGCAGAACTTAAATTAACAGTGACACTATTGCGATTTATCGAAAAAGACTCTAAAATAGTTGGTTGTGTAGCGTGCGGTAGATCTCGGCAAAAACTGAGTGAAATAATGGAACAACTTTTCGCTAGTAAGTGACTATATAATATACATACGTGTAGTAAACCGATCATTTATGAAATTCACTTAAATTAACTAAATTATATATTTTTCTTGCATTTTAGCTTTTATTTATTACTTGTCAAAGATTAGATGTCAAAGAATTTAGATACGTTAATTTGACTTACCTGCTTCAGTAGCGTATCGGATGTTTGTGTTAATAAATACTTATTATAACTTATCTATTTTTATTAGAATTATATATTTTTATAACAATTTTAATAACTACCAACATTTATTCACAACGTAAAATAAAACAACAAATTATTGAGTCTACCCCACGTCTACCCTACACCATAGTTTTACATTTTTTAAATAAAATTAGAACGGCACTGATAAACCGGAATTTAAGTCGGCCATATTTGAGGCCCATCGCGGTGTACCTAAGATTTTTGATATGCTCCTTCCTTAGTCTTCTTATTCAAAGATTTTTACCTTTCCCCCCTAAATTTCATTCTTCCGGCGCTCATGAGTATTTGGAGCATGTAGGAGGGAAGAAATCACGTTTTTGAACGCAGATGCCATTAAAGATTGTCAGTCATTTATTAGTGTGAAGATTCCGAATACAAAAACTCATTTTCCAAGAGTGTTTACGATTACTGAGGGACCAATAGATGGTATCAATTTCTTACATGTATTTTGTAAGTATGCAAAACTTTGACCACTCAATGTGACGATTTTTCTTGACGTATCGAAAAAATCAATGCCGTGCCCTGCCAGTTGGAATCAATACAATTGGGAGTATGCCAAAAAAGATAGCGGAATTTCTTGGACTCTCCAACGCCATTGAATACACTGGTCATTGTTTCCGGTGCAGCTCTGCAACAATGCTGGCAGATTCAGGAGCGGACATAACAGTTTTAAAGCGACATGGAGGTTGGCGATCAAGCTCGGTTGCTGAAGGTTACGTTGAAAATTCAATTGAACAGAAAACCAAAACAGAAATAGCAAAAAGAATCATGGGACAGAAAGATACGCCAAATAAGAAATTAAAAGCAGATCACGTAGATTCTTAATTTTAGGATTTTACAATATTATAGTAGGTCTAACTGGTCTTTACAAAATGCATAAACTCTGCAGGGCAATAAGTTGTTAAATTCTATGACATTTGCCTAGTAAAAATCTAGAATACCTGGAAAGAATCTTTACTTCATCTTATATTTTTAGAAATACTTAGGGCTCGAATACACTGACGACCAGGTCGCACCGGCCAGGCCGCAGCTACCTCTAAAACCATTAAATCAAATGATATAGCGCACACTAACGTCCTGGCCGTCCGTTGGTCGTTGCGACCAGACGACTGCACGGAAATATTATTATTTTCTGCCGCTTGTTGCCGGTTTTCTTCCAAATTAATAATTTTTCAGTTTTTTAATCCCTCAAATTCAAGGCACAATATTTTATTTTCTATAAGATATAGTGTTTTAGTGTAGTTTTTGCACACGTGCAGAAAATCCAAAGAAATAATATACAGACTGGATCAAAGGTAAACTTAAATCTAATCCCTTTTTTTTATCAAGGGTCGATTCTAGTAAAAACTCAAAACATTTTTATATGACATACCTTCTCTATTTATGGTTGGTATGATACCTGTTATTATACCTTTGAGTTTCGATGTTTAAAAAATAAAAAAAAATGATATTTAAAGTTTTTCTACAACCACTTGTTTTTTTTATTAAATTAGTTTTTTTAGTTTTTTTTATTAAATTAGTTTTTTAGTAGAGGACAACTGTATTTTAAATATGATATTTAATTTAACGTTTTTCAAACAGGGTTCATTAGACTATATTTCTACTAGGTACATTATTTTGAAAAAAAAATAAGAAAGTAACTTAAACATTCATAAAAATAGAAGTAATTACTGTTGTAGATTCTTCGTTATATTATAAACATTGAAATAACTGGAAGCTAAACTTTCTACCTGCTTATATTTAGAGCCAGTGTCTGACGATCTTCTTTTACGATGGCCCTAATATGTTTACTTCTAAAGTCGATAAGGGCGCCATATCAGTAGAAAAAAGAAACAGAATATCTCCCTTTTTGTCGGTCGCGCGTACACAATGCTTTGTGTTTGTTGCGAATAGCAACTTCGCTTTTTAGTTAACTCGGATATTTGAACATTTCTGAAACAATATTTTCTAATTGGTAAAACGTAAAAAATCGTTAGATTTGACAACTCTGTTGAAACTGGTCGTTCATCTGGCCGCAGCTAAAAACGCAATGCCTCCGGCCAGCCTGGTCGTCAGTGAGTTCGAGCCCTTTAAGGTGTACGCGCACTGAATCGGTACCAGTCCGGCGAGAAACGGCGAAGGCGGTGACTCGACTATCGTAGATAGGTAGAGGTAGGAATCTGGCCTCTACAGGCCGAAATGTTTTAGTGGACGCCGGCGCCGTCTATATGTACGATGGTCGCAGTCGCTTTTGCTGGTCGGTCCGATCCGATGCAGTGCGCGCCCTCCTTAAGGTGTACGCGCACTGAATCGGTACCAGTCCATGGTACAAAGAATACAAGGTGTGATATTGCGCAGGTTGGTCGCTACGTCACAGGTGATAACAGGCGCTATTGGTCAGCACGCTCCGCGCGCCAGTTCAAATCGTCAAGATATTGTTATAAACCTGTTTTTTTGTTTATATACCGTCATTGAATTATCGCTAAGCAAGTTACTGTGGAGCAGTGCGTAAGGAGTTGGGCTAGGAAGCGAGAGACCGGAGTTCGAATCTCGGCCGGGACATAACTTTTTATTTATTTTTTTAAATACTGTTGTATTCTATAGTTTATTTTTGTAGTATAAAAAAAGAACTATTTATTCTGTTATTTTTTCATCTCCGGTATTAATATAAATTGACTGTTGGTACAATACCTCATTTAATATAAAATAATATTCTACTTTTTGAAATGTATCAGGCCCTAATTGTACCTAAAAGTAATATATTTTTAATGATATACTATATTGTAAACTATTTAATATTTCAGTCACTTAAAAAGTTAATTTGCATTGAATAATTGCCTACCATTAAAGGAAATTTGAGCTATATAATCGTTGATGGGCATATTCTGGGTATGCAAATACTTCCTCTAAATTTTGGGTTTCGTTCAACCGATTTATTCTCAAAACCTGAAACATCTACATATAAAAAGAAGCACAGGTCACTAATTATCATAAACTTCACCCTTGGAATTACTTCTATCACAATTACAATACATTCATCTGCATTGGCATTTTCTACTTTTCTATGGGAAACAATAAAATTCCCAACATTTTTTAAATGATGTAACAATTCCTCTTGTGGTTACTTTTCCATATATATCCTCATCTCTGTCCTCATGTGAAATCAGAGGCAATGCACATGAAAATTATTTACCATAAACATCGCAAACTAAAAACCTAATAAACAATTTTATAGGTACCGAATATAGAAATAAATTTAGTATTCTTACCTATTATGGTCCAAAGTCCAAAGCCATGTTAATAGATAATTATTATTTTTAAATATATTTTTTTGGAACTTCTGGTTTTAGTAATTATTAAATTAAACGAACTAAAAAGTCTTAAAAATAAACAATTCTTAACCATAACCAGAGCCATAACCCCAAAAAATGCAGATCTCCTGTCAACTTTCTTTATTTTTTATTTATTCCTCATTTTCCTAGTGACGTCACAGGTGGTATGCGCGAACTGAACGAAATTGGAGCCGCTATCGATCATACCTTGTATTCTTTGTACCATGGTACCAGTCCGGCGAGAAACGGCGAAAGCGGTGACTCGACTATCGTAGATAGGTAGAGGTAGGAATCTGGCCTCTACAGGCCGAAATGTTTTAGTGGACGCCGGCGCCGTCTATATGTACGATGGTCGCAGTCGCTCTTGCTGGTCGGTCCGATCCGATGCAGTGCGCGCCCTCCTTAAGGTGTACGCGCACTGAATCGGTACCAGTCCGGCGATAAACGGCGAAGGCGGTGACTCGACTATCGTAGATAGGTAGAGGTAGGAATCTGGCCTCTACAGGCCGAATGTTTTAGTGGACGCCGGCGCCGTCTATATGTACGATGGTCGCAGTCGCTTTTGCTGGTCGGTCCGATCCGATGCAGTGCGCGCCCTCCTTAAGGTGTACGCGCACTGAATCGGTACCAGTCCGGCGAGAAACGGCGAGGGCGGTGACTCGACTATCGTAGATAGGTAGAGGTAGGAATCTGGCCTCTACAGGCCGAAATGTTTTAATGGACGCCGGCGCCGTCTATATGTACGATGGTCGCAGTCGCTTTTGCTGGTCGGTCCGATCCGATGCAGTGCGCGCCCTCCTTAAGGTGTACGCGCACTGAATCGGTACCAGTCCGGCGAGAAACGGCGAAGGCGGTGACTCGACTATCGTAGATAGGTAGAGGTAGGAATCTGGCCTCTACAGGCCGAAATGTTTTAAAGGACGCCGGCGCCGTCTATATGTACGATGGTCGCAGTCGCTTTTGCTGGTCGATCCGATGCAGTGCGCGCCCTCCCTTAGTCTTTACCTGAGGAATCCGAAAACACCCAATCGGTAGTTGAAAATTACGAACACAATATCTTTTTCAAGCAGGTAATCGGGAGTACCGGAACTATTTGTAGATCCAGAAACAAAAGCACCTCCATAGATATAGACCATAACAGGAAGACTTGAATTTAGCTGAAAAAAAAACAAGTTATTCCTTAAAGTTCAATGTCAATTGTGGATGATTTCTTACATATTGAATATGGAGCAATAGTTTTTTTGGCATGAGAAAGGATCGACTTTTTCTATTTTATATTATAATATTTGCATTTAATATTAAAACAGAAAGATTAACTAACATTAAATATATTTTTAATATATTTAATATACCTACAAGGAGTCTTAGTACTCTAGTTTCAATATTATTCAATGAAAGTATTAAAAGATTATTTATTAAAGTACTATTTTAAATTCTTTAAACTATTTCTTAGTTTCACGTCCCCATAACTCTATTGTTTGAATGTTTGTATTAAACAGACGGATTACTAATATTTTTTTAAAGTTTAGTTGGAATAACAACTATAATAATGATTATATTAAACAAAACGACAGCTACTATTTAGTTAGAAATAAAACGTGTGTTTAGACATCGCATCGGCTAAAATATAATTTTTATTTAATTTTACGTTATTATAGGGTGATTTTTTACCAGTTTGGTTCTGTTATAACAGGGCGCTCAGAAAAAAAATCCATATCAGATTTCTGTTTGCAATTTTTACTCTATGTTCAGATTTTTTTCTTCATTTTTACCCTATTTTTACTGTAATAAGTGGTATATATTTCTTCGTTTTTTAATAGTTTTTTTTTTAAATAAATTTTAATATTATTTATTGTTTTCTATACGTACATTGGTGGTATAAACGTTGATATAAAGACAGTCTTCTGAACCGACTACTTCTGAGTCAGATATCTGAGTACATTGGCTGGGTTCGCTGGTGGCGTTTAAAACATCTGTCCATGCATCGTTCTCCACTGGCGACTAATAAAATTAAAAACGATAAAAAAGTATATTTTACTGCAAAAATTATTAAGCTACTGCAAATCTTAAGTCTCCTATCGGTGGCTGCGCGTAGGGTATTCCTCTATATGCGTAGTACGTTACATTTTCTGATACAGTTTGGTTGACTATCCCGCGTACGCTTCCATCTGGAATGGTTACCACTGGACTATATTCCTACAGACAATAAAATAGGATCAGGAACAATTGCGGCTCCAGATTCAACAATCACAAAACATCCCCCTTTAGAACTTCGTCTGTCATGTTAAAAATGAAAGTAAATAATAAAGCGCCTCTCGTGTTTGTTCGCACTCAAAAAATTTCAATTAATGCCTGTATATATTTTTAATATATTTTTTAAATTTTCATTTTTTTAATTGTAAAGTAATATATTACATTTAAATGGAATATATTACATAACAATTATGTCAATTACAGGATTACAAGCTTGTTTTATAACATTTTTTAAATACAACGAATTATAAAATTTCAATATATGTATATTTGTCGTAGGTATGAAAAAAGTAAAATATAAAATGGACAAACGCTTACTTACATTGCAATAAAACTTCCACTTTTAGTTTTGCAATCCAAACGCAATATTTCTATTTCAAAAATAAAAATATCCGACAACACTAAAATCACTGAAACTTCCGCGGCTGACAACGAAAACTGAAAAATATAACGGCACTTTTTGTTTTGGACCTGTATATCAACATTACGCTATACTATTATGTGTTTGTTGTTGAAATAATATAAAATATCTAATTAAACTTGTAAATTTTAATATTTTAACATGATTTTAACCATTGCCTGGAAGCTTATATGTTGAAATTTTGATAAAATAATTTAGTACTCACTAAAAACACGGTACGTCGCTAGTGGTAGGAAAAATAATTTTTAGAGGTTACTCGTTTATTTGGTTGCCTGTGATATGCATATACAGGGTGTTTCCTAATTAATCTAAAAAATAAAAAATCTAAAAAATAAAAAACTAAAAACGGCTGAAGGCGGGCTCTTAATAAGTATATTTATTTTTTTCTCGGCAACCGTTTGATGAACAAGAAAAACTCAAAAAACCAATTTTGTTGAAAAAGGATGGCCAGTCAAGAAAAAAATATATTTTCTTTAAAAAAGCAGTAGTGTACCATTTATGTTAAGCAAAATATCGATTTTTTTTTAATTTTTAACACCCCGTAGATCAGAAAGGAAGTACTTTAGATCCAATGGTTATATAAAAAATGTTTTAAGAACACATGAGGAATCACACCACAATTTTTTAGACTAATTAGAAAACACCCTGTATATTGTCAACTTGACAATGATTGTTGATAAATCAAAAAATACCTTTTCTGTGAAAAAAGCCCGATTTTCGCAGGAAAAATTTTGGTTTTTATTGAATTTGGGCCTGCGTCTGCAAATACCGGTATGTTTTTTAATATTCTATCTATCTAAATTTTAAATATCATAGTCAGAAATAGTTTTATTATTTATTAACTGTAAAAATGGTATACTTATAAGTTTTATCAAATATTGTAATTTACTTTCTACCTTGTAGTCAAAATTTATATTTAATAAACTGTAAAATATATATATTCTTATGTTTTATTAAAGTTACGCTGATATACTAATATATCAGTGTAACTTTAAAACTAAATCCTTTGAAATCAAATATAAACATAAAAAATATTTACAGCAGGAAAGGCGAAGGCGCCGGGTTAAACGTAGTCTCTACTAAGAACACGGAGGGGCGCTTTGACCCAAAATTTTACTATTAAGTTTCATATCTATCTTAATAGAAGATTATATTCTTTTATCTATGGATTTTAACTACTTTTAACAATAACTAACTTTTTGTTATCAAGATGACATTTTAGACGGCAACTGACATATATGTCCAAATATTTGAATCTTCTATATGTATGTAATATAATTTAAATTACTATAATGCAACTTTATACTAAGAAAACATTTATACATTCACAAAATACAACAATACAAAGTACAATAATATAGTTTGAAAACAATGAATATTGAATTCAAATTGAAAAAGTTAAGCGCCTTGTGTCAAAATTAGATGATTAAATTTTCGCAATTTTTACACCATTTGATGACCGGTGGCGCCTCTAGTGTTTGTTCGGGCGGTTAGGCTTTTACTCCCGATTATGGCCATTAAAGAAAAAGTTCTAAAGGGGGATGTTTTTTGTTGAACAATAACTAATTTTTTCAAACGTCAAAAAATATTCATTTTTGCAACGTGATTGACAATATAAAAACGTCATTTTAACGCCTAGGCATCAGAGATTAGGTACCATTTTTAACAATACTTTTTTACCTTTTTGATAAATTTTCAGGTAAATGAGATTACGATGCGTATCTTAAATTGCAACTTTTTCTCAATCACCCTGTATCATGAAAGTTAAAAAGGCCATCACAATTTTGTTCATGGCATTTTTGGTTTCACAAAAAATAAAAGGCTCAACTTTCGTTTAGCTGAAATCTGTTATATAAAAAATAACTTTATATATGCGTTCTAGAAGGCGTTAGGAGTACAAAATACAAAAATTTTCCTGCGGAAATGCGTCATTTTCATTTTTCGGACTTTAGTATAGCCGAAATCTGTTACATCAAAACTAGTCTTCGGGGCGTGTTTTAGACATTTTTCTAAATATAAAACACAAAAAAGTGTATGCGGAAATTTTTTATTTTTATTTTACATAAAAAAATGCTTTGACTTTAGAATAGCCGAAATCAGTTACATGAAAAATGAAAAAATTCCTGCGGAAATGTGTCAATGTCATTTTGTGCTCTTTGTTTTTTATACGTTTTTCAGTTTAGAAGCTTACGGGACCCGGGAGCGAATAGGGATGCTGGGTGGGGTAAAACATCTTTCGGAGGAATAATAATTCTTGTAGAATAGATAATATAGGTTCTTGTGAACTATAAGTACCTCGGAATATTGCACTTATTCTTGTTTTTTTTCTTAAAGCTTTAAGTAAATAGGGCTGATTCAAAACAAAAAATCATTGGATCATGCAGTTTTCTTTAATATTTTAATAATTAACTGTGATTTTGCAAAAATATTAGATTGGTAAGCATTTGGGTTGCTTTTCTTTGTGGAGGGTGTTAAGCTGTGGTTTTTATATTTTAATAACTGTGATTTTGCAAAAATATTATTAGATTGGTTAGGATTTGGGTTGCTTTGGTTAACTTTTCTTTGTGGAGGGTGTTAAGCTGTGGTTTTTATATTTTAATAATTAACTGTGATTTTGTAAAAATATTATTAGATTAGTTAGCATTTTAGACACTTTTAAATTATTATTTTTGGTTCAAAAGTGATAAAAAGATAATTTTTTATTTATTTATGCTTACAAAAATGGAAAATGAAAATCAAGCATTTCCGCAGGAAATTTTTTGTTTTCCTGAGTTTGTAAACGCTTCTAAAAGGCAAAAATATATTTATTTTTTATATAACTGATTTCAGCTATTCTAAAGTCTATTAAATTTCCTCAAAAAATAGACACAGTTTAATTCCGCAGGAAAATTTTTATTTTCCTCAATTCGTGAATGCTTCTAAAAGGCAAAAATATATTTGTTTTTTATATAGCTGATTTCAGCTATTCTAAAGTCTAATAAATTTCCATATAAAGTGAAAACAGCTTATTTCCGCAGGAAAATTTTTATGTTTATATGTTCAGAAAAATATTAAAAATAAAACGCAAAATGTATTTTTTATAGCAGATTTCAGTTATTCTAAAGTGCGAAATTTGGAAATTTTTGTTTCCGCAGGAAAATTTGTCTTTTCCGTGTTTCACAGTAGCCTTTTAAAGACAAAATTTTTTTAACTGATTTCACCTTAACTGATTTCAACTAAACGAAAGTTGACCCAAATAAAAAAAAGTAACCCCAGATTCGTGAAAAGGTTCTATCTTTATCAGTAAGCGAGGTAACCCTTAATTTTTGATTAATGTCAGAAAGAAAAAAAAAATAAGTACCTACAATTAAATCAATTAATAAATTAATTAATTTAAAACTTACTTCAGAATTGACAGCATAATTCTTACAAATAAATGCTACAGTAAGGCATATTTTAAAAATATCCACTGAACTCATTATACGGCGTTTACATAAACCAATATGCAACTGAAAAATATAAATTACATCTAATTTATATATAAACATCCTCGTATTACAAAAGGGCTTTTAAAAGATACATAAGATTTATTTCTAAATCTTTAATAAATAAATTTATCAATTTTCAAGTTCGTTTAAAAAAATAAATATACAAGGTGTAAAAGGATAAGTTCTGTCGATTTTTTTCTGTCTCATCGGACAGATTTTGGTTCAATTTGTAAAACAAATTACAAATTTTTAAAATTTTGGTATCCACGTTTGGGGTTGGCTTTTTAGATGAGTTAAACTACTGTAGCGAGCATAGTTTTAATCACCGGTTTTGCTAGTGGGTTCATAATTATTGAGGCTGTTTCGGCTATAACGAAGTTTTTATAGGTATATAATTATAATTTTAGAAGATTTTCATAAAATATTTAATCACTAGTTGACTAAAAAAAGTATACCATTAATATTGCAAATTATATTTTATCCTCTCATAGTATATGTCTCTTTAATTTTTTGATAATGTTTTGTTTACTCACTTTGTTTACTCACTTGTTTCGTCGAACTGCTGGAATCCATTTTTGCTTTTGATCAAATCGGTGTGAGAAACTATGAAGCAATAAAAAGTTGTTTCGTAAGAGTTGCATATCCGGGAAAGTTGAGTTATTGAATGTTATTGCACCCAACAACGCCCTAATTAAGGTAGTATCAGACACAGCTACTTTTGTTGCGCAACTTTTTTGCAGCCGCTGCAAAAGTTGCATACAGTGTTCATACACCAGCAGAAAGTAGTCTAAAACGCGCAGTTTTTATGCAGTAGCTGCATAAAAAAGTTGCAGGTCGACACTACATGCTTTTTATATGTTCACACCAAGGCGCCACTTTTGCAACATATTTTGGTAGCCGCAGCCTTGGAGGGGCAACATTCAACAGTACACCATCCGCAGCTGAAGGTATCGTGTATGTCTTTTTGGAAGAGTAAACCGGATTTGGAACTTTCCATTTTTAAACGTTCTTTCGAATATTGTGCACGCAACGTGTGAATTTTCTTTTTTATGTCTTCATCGGGCATATGTAATTCAGAAGAAATTTCCAAAATAGCGGCTCGTCTTTTCGTTTGGTTGTGATAGAATGGGCTTTTTACGTTCCATAAATACTCCCTTGCTTCTACCGCTTCTATTAAACATATTACTTGTTCTCTGTTCCAAATCGCTTGTTTCGACTTCGACGACATCGCAATTTGTCGGTTAATTCTTTACTAAATACCTACATATAAATCCTGGAGTTAACTGAACAAAAGTGTATACATTTCGGGTATACCAACAGAATACTGCACCGATGTCCGCAGTAAAAGTTTCAACTGATTAGTAATCTTTTGCTGCACTTGCAACCTTCCTCAACAACTGTTCACACACGGCTATTTCTTAAACTGCGCGCAACAAAAAAGTAGCCTACGCAACCAAGCTGCGATCGCAACGTTGCAGGTTGCCTAGGTATTCACACTTGCAGCAGATCAAGTTGCGCAGTTTTTTAATGTGCTGCGCAACAAAAGTAGCTATGTCTGTAGTATCAGACTTTACGCTCTCCTTTACGCGTTAATATTTTTTCGGCAATTTTATTAACATTTGAAATTGTCACAACACGACACCTAGTTCGAATTCTTTTTCACTTATTATTCGCAATTGTTGGTGCAATTATTGTACCTGGCCACGACACTATATTATCATAGTAGAAGGAAACTAGTAGCTTTACTCCTTGTCAAATCCTTTGTTCTTTTTCTGCCACTTTATATATGACCTTGTTCTCGCGTCTATAACTAGGCAAAGTATAGTCGTAGCACTCGCCATAGTTTCACAGAGATGTATATATTCACAGAGAAAATATGAGTTCACAATAAAATAAAATAAAAAAATTGATCATCGAGTAAAAATTTGCTTGAAAACAGAATATTTTCACATTTCGTGTAAGTAACAATTTTTCTGTATCCGAAACTCTTCTGATGGGAAGAAATGCGAAAAAATATATAATGACATATTTTTATATTATCTATTTTAAAGATTATCTACAACTTTTTTTTAATTTAAAACAAGTTTAATTTTAACATTAATGTGTTTGTTTTGTAGTAATATATTGGTTAGGTGATTTTCATTGGATAACTAATACACTGAACAACACATTGTACTAAATAATAAAATATGGTAATTAAACTTCAATAATAATTGCTAATAAACATTACAGAAATTTCAAAAGAGAAAAGAAGCAAGAACAATGAGAAATAGCATCACTACTTTCTCACGTAATAAAAGAATAATTTTTTGATATCTCATAGATATATTCTTTGATGTCTCAAAAGAACCGGGTATTTCCGGTTCTGAACCCTAGTTACCATATTCAAAAACATAATTATTATGAAATTATGTTTTTGAACTAAAAATTTCCAGATTTCTTTTCAAAAAAAAAAATTGCGCAGAGAAATCTTCATATTTCTGGATCAAAATATACTATGTACCCCTAAAAATATTTGCACTTTTTTAAGGCTCACCCTGTATAGGGCGATTCAAGGTTATGCTACGTTATAGCGTTTCCGGAACCGGAGCTGTTTTTCGGAACCGGTAATTTCGGTACCATGCCTCTAAGGAACAGGAATTTCCAGTTTTTTTTCGGTACTTTCGGTACTAACAAATTTTTGTCAATGATGGTGCAGTTCGTTAAACAACAAACAAGGGATGGTTGTCAAAAGTAAAATCGATAAAAAATTGAGGTTTAAATGAAAATAATATCAAATTATTAAGTAGTAATCAGTCTTGAGAAAATTAACTTGAACACAAACATGATCATAAATGACTCTCAAAAAAAATTTAAAGTACATTTCTTTGAATTATTACTACAACCAATAGCAGTACACAGTAAGGCATTCATTTTTTGTCAATCCGTCTCTGTGCTGGGACGCAATGCTCGAACCTCGCAGGTCGACGGACGGAACTCAACTGAAACGCTCTGCAATCTGCCGATATTCGACAGATTGTAGAAACTGGCAGAAAATATTTGGGAGAGTGCAACTACTCTTTTCTTTCTACTATGACTATATCCAGGGATCATCTGTTATGTCCACATCACAGGTCGTTCAAGTTTTCGATATTCTTCTTTCCTCCTATAAATTATACATGATAACATCAATTTATCTCAAAAGTTACGAAATACTCTATACCAATATCAGAAGAAAAAAAATACAGATATAAACAATTGGCAAAATCAAGTTGCATCAAATATTGCGAAATTTTAATTTAAGTAAATGTAAACATTTTACTAGTTGCGACCTAGGATATTCAAATATAAATTACCTTATCTACAATTTTAGCAGTTGAATTTTTTTTAAGCTTCTGAACTATTATCTAACTACTTTTTTGATAAAATTAGACATGTTAGCAACCAAAATGCATTCAAAGAAAAGGAATTTATATTAAAATATATAAACTTTACGTCACTAGTGACGTTTGTTTTTATTTGTTTTATTTATTTATACAATACTTGCATTAAAGTTATTTGTTTCTATATTTAATTCCATCTCAATTGTTATTATGTTTATGTTAGGAAATTATTCTTATATCCTATGCATATATCATAATAAATCCGCATTTTTTTGTAATCATTAGTTCAAACATTTTCAAAATCACCCCCAGTGAGCAAAGTTTCATCACATTTAGAAGATGGGCCTGGTAAAGTAGCAATGAAGTAACAATAGTTCTGTCTTCATTAATAAAGAAAAGAACCATTATTTGCAACAAAAATGGTACACTCTGTACATTCATCAAACACGGTCAACTTACCGAATTACAGACACAACATTTAGTATAGGATTAAGTATATAAATAAATTATTTTCAAGTATTGTCTTAACGCATATCACGCATAGAGACAAGTAAAGCGTCATGAAACAGTTTTTGCATACTTTATATAAAATTCTCGTGTAGTTTAGTTACCATACTCCTCCGAAACGGCTTTTTTATTTTCAGTAGGTCTGAGAATAGTTATGTATTTTTTATACCCTTAAGTGATAAGGGTGGTCCACCCCACATTTTTTATTTTTATTTTTTGAATGCTAATTACGAGCAACCCATTAATAAATTTCGATATCGTCTGGTGTTTAGAAGAGGTATTAAAGCACTTAAAATTTGGAATCACGGAGGCTATTTACCAGACCGATTTGCGATCTCCTTAAATCTTTTAGCCATTTCTGGCGTCTTCCTACTGATCTTTTCCCCTGCACTTTGCCCTCTATTATGAGACGCAGTATTTCGTATCTACCACCTCTCATCACATGACCCAGGTATTGCATTTTCCTTTCCTTGATGGTGTTCAGTATCTCTTTTTGTTTCTGCATGCGCTGGAGTACTTCATCGTTGGTAATCCTTTGTACCCATGAGATTCGCAGCATCCGTCTGTACACATACATTTCGAAGGCTTCTATTCTCTTTTCGGCCTGTGAATCCAGTGTCCTAGCTCTCACATTCATAGAGTAACACAGAGAAGACGTAGCATCTGGCCATTCGAGTTCTGAGTTCTACTCACGAAGATTTTTCTCGCTTGCTCAATTCTTGAAAATATTTCTCTTTTCAGGTCGCATTGCCTATTGATGTTAGCTCCTAAATACTTTATTGAGGTCACTTGTTCGATTGTTTGTCCCTTGACACGCAGGTGTGCATTTATTGGAGTCTTAGAAAAGACCAATAGTTTGGTCTTGGAGACATTGAGATGCAGTCAAACATCTCACTATAGTGGACTACGGAATCTATAATGCTTTGCAGTTCTTGTATATCGTTATAACCGTATCATCGGCATATCTGATGTTGTTTATTGGGATTCCATTGAACTTGATTCCGCCCTGGATTCGATCCAGTGCTTCTCTAAATATAGTCTCCGAGTACAGGTTAAACAGGAGCGGAGACAAGACGCAACCCTGCCGAACACCCCGTCTGATTTGTATATCTTCCGATGTTGACCGCTTCATCTCAATTACCGCCGGTTGAT